TAATTCTATAATCGTACCTTGCCTTCAAAGTATCTACTACAAAATCTTTTTTGCACAAAGCAAGTACTTATATTACGTAATACAATTTAAATATTCATAAAAAAGTACACATTCATTTTCATATATTTAACACAACTTAACGAATTTGTTAGGCATATCGAGCCAGTGCAATCGAAGCATTGCCCTTACGCCTTAGCCGGTTCTAATTTCTAGGTCAGGTGCACTGTACACGCGAGAGCCTGCAACTGTTCGTCTGTTTATTAATGTTTTAACACCTGTATGATTCATAGCCGCTTCACGACTGCACACATGATCCCGTTGTTACCAAAACAAACGTATCCTACGTATTCGATGTAAAAAATTGTATCTACCTTTTTCTCTCAATCCTTAACAATGCAATATAATTTATTATATTTCTGTCATATCTGTAACATTAATACGAAGAAAAATGAAAGGTCACTTTTATCGCAATCAACAACGGAATTTTTGTAACATCAATACATTTTTATGCAATCTATGAGAGAATGAAATAAACTAAAAGGAATCGTGCCGTGAGTAGTTTGGCTGGTTTGAAGATTTTGTTATAGCTAGTACCGTTATATATTATATACAGGCGTTATTTCTTTAAAAGTGCCACCTAGTGCGGAATAGGAACATCATTGTTAAACTTAAGATATGCCATCTAGTTTTCAATAGCTGAACTATTCATTCTTCGTTCTTCTAGAAGTGTCATCTAGTGTCAACTAAAAATACGAATTGTTATTATACTCATTATGCGTTATAACATTACCATCTCTTGTCGGCAATTTGAAAGAATATTAATACAGATATTAGCAAGTAGATGTCGCTTATACAGTATAAAGTTTTAACACTACAAATTTAGCAAATTTAAATAACACCTATAGTTGTTATACATTTTTTAAAGGATTATAAATTAAAGAAAATTAATGATATAATTCAAAAAATATTTTCAATTTTTTAGTTTGCCCTATTTTGATTAAAGATGCCCTTTAAATGTTGACGTTAAATTAGCAGAACCTAAATTACAAATAATTGAAATTTAATACTAATAACAAAACTGTCCAAACATTAAAACTCTACTACTTTCAAATTAATTCTCCTATTTCCAAATCGTATTTTAAAGTATAATATTCAGATTCAAACAAAAATTATGAATCGTTAAATGGTCTGAACCGCAACGTAAGTATATATTGCTCCATATGTCTATCGAAGCGCAGTATGCGCGGTTCCACTTAACTACCAACCCGTCGTAACAATAGCAAATTTTCGTGAGTTTTGTGAATAAAATATAAAATGGGCAGAGGTGAGTGGTAATTCATTTAGTAATAGTGTATTTTTAAAATGCAAACCATTAAATGAGGTTAATATTTCGCAAACGCATGCATTTCTGCTAACCCTAATTATTCTTTATAAAAGTAAACGTCTATTTGAATCGACAAAATATTTTTTAATTCTTGAAAGTGTGTTATGGATTAGCGTTTCAAAAACTGAACTTTTTCTAACCAATAAAGAGGGTAAGTATTATTAATACTAATATTTAATCAATAAAGACACTTATCGACATTCGTATGTTTAATTATTATGCTAGCATTTGAATCTCTTGTAAAAAAAAAATGTTTGTAAAATTTTATGCGATTCTCATTTTTCGTTAATTCTTAATATTTTTGTTGTAAACAAAATTTAACGATAGTTTCAAAAATGTAGAATCATAATTAAACTATTAATCCATGATTTAATATAACTTTCCTTTTTTTAATGACTTTTTAATATCTAATCTAATTAAGTTCCGATTTAAATAGTAATTTCTAATGTGGACATACATCCAATGATGGTACTTAACTTTAAATTTTTTTCGCACACAGTTAATATGATTAGCTCTTTACAGTTTGTAAAGATTTTACTATCCTGTATTTCTCTCAATACTGCGGTGAAATCTCATTAATTTGTGTTTAATGTACCAATTAGATTCTAATTTTGAATATTCACTTTCAAATATCTTTAACATATGCTAGCTTGAAGCGTTTATAGTCCGAATAAAGGAATATTTTTCTTGGGTATTTAGGCCATAATAAAATTCTATGAAAACTAAACGAATTCTAGCGAAAAAATTAAAAATGTATTTAAAAATTATTTGATTACAGATTCTGTAATAACGGTTTCTTTTAGAAGTTTATGAAAGACTTCATGGCGATAAACCTAAACCGTAAATTATTCGCATGGCTGAATTTTTAAATTTTTTTTTTGGAGGAATAATGAAGCAATCTAAAATAATATTTCTAATCCATTCAGTAGTTTTTGAGTTCTTTCGATAAAAATGCAAATCGCCCCCCCCCCCCCCCCCCCCCCCCCCCCCCCCCCCCCCCCCCCTTTCCCCCCCCCCCCCCCCCCCCCCCCCCCCCCCCCCCCCCCCCCCCCCCCCCCCCCCCCCCCCCCCCCCCCCCCCCCCCCCCCCCCCCCCCCCCCCCCCCCCCCCCCCCCCCCCCCCCCCCCCCCCCCCCCCCCCCCCCCCTTTCTCTTTTTTTTTTTTTTTTTCCCCCCCCTCCCCCTCCCCTCTCCCTTTTCCCCCTCCTCCCCCCCCCCCCCCTCCTCCCCCTTTTCCCCCCCCCCCCCCCCCCCCCCCCCCCCCCCCCCCCCCCCCCCCCCCCCCCCCCCCCCCCCCCCCCCCCCCCCCCCCCCCCCCCCCCCCCCCCCCCCCCCCCCCCCCCCCCCCCCCCCCCCTTTTTCCCCCCCCCCCCCCCCCCCCCCCCCCCCCCCCCCCCCCCCCCCCCCCCCCCCCCCCCCCCCCCCCCCCCCCCCCCCCCCCTACCTGTTTATAGTAATATCGACAGATAGATAAATAAGTTTAGACACAACAGTAGGTAATTCGTCGGAATTTGTTTTAAAGATTTCATCAATCAAGTAATTTTTCATATTTTTTAGTCATAGCGTAAACATTAATAAAACAGAGACCGACTTAATTAAAACAAAGTGCTTAGATAAGTAGACCAGTGTTCCCTGAGGTCGTATGTTCGAACCCCGGCTATGCACTTAGAAAATATGAAAAAAGCGTGAGAAATCGATACTACTTACATAAAGCAGACTTCCTACTTGTCTATTAAAAAGAAAATTATTAGAAAACAGATACAGAACCACGCTTGTAGCGCCGCTGTTTTTTTTTATTCGATATTTTTTTTAAAGGAAGAAACGCACAGACCGTCCTTTTTCATAATAGCGTAAAATCGAATTTTATACACAGATTAGTGACTGTAGTTAAAACTGTATAGACACATTTATTTATTACTCCCCAAACCCCACTTCCTTCCCCTTTTTTTCTTTCGGTGGCGAATGTCGGAGTTTTGCTTCTTCGCGCACCTTTTTTGTTTCCCCCCCCCTTCCCCCCTTTCTCACCCCCCCCCCCCCCGAGAAAGAAGGCGCCCGCAAAAAAAAAAGGCCTAAGGAAGGCGTCTCTTTAATATTCTTCCTCGAAGAGCTATACCTCATGACCAGTCAACAGGATAAAACTCTTTCCGTAAAACGTGCGTTGTCATGGCTACACGTCGTACAAAATTATTTAATTATGTTATTTTAATGTCTGCTCATAATGAACAAAATAATGGATTTTGTTCGTGGTTACACACGGTTTGTGAACTTATTGTACTTAGTAATACATAAATCAAGATATATGAGGTCTGGGATCAATTCAAAAGGTAAATCGCGAAATCTTATTTTAGTTGAAACTTCCTGTATTTACTGTAATATACGATTAATCATAATGTATACTATATATAAAGTGTAATAGTTAAAGAAAAACGGGCACTACACTATACCGAAATCGAAATATTTCTCCTAGAAATGTGAAATGAAAACATTGTATGTCTGAAAAACTTTTCGGTATAGTCTCTTCTGAGTTTAATACACTTAGAATTCCTATGATGAGACTAACACCTCGTATTTTCCTTTTATCGCTCTCCTGACTTTATGGGACAGGGGGCAAACCCCACGTACTCTCCCCCACTTTGAACCCATTGCTAACCGCCGCCCATGCACACCTGCAACGCCGGGGGCTTTCGGATGTTTAGCTGACCTTTGAATAAATCTCTCCTGACTATTGATTTTATACTATTATAAAAAGACATCGCCTCGATACAACTTGACGTGTTATTAATTAAAATATACAATAAACTAATACTATTTATGCGTTAATAATATTGTAAATATTTTTATTATCATATAACATTGTATCCAATGTTACTTTTCAGGCAGGAGTGGAAGGATTTGCTTTCCACTTCCGAAATAGTTTTTATTTGATTTTTAAATGTAGCTTCAAATTTCCAATTTCTTACAATCTTCAGTACATAAAGGACAAACGGATTTTTAAATTTCAGAATACAATGTTAATTAAAAGTTAGTAAAAATACTTGTTATTTTTATCGCTAAAATTGTATTTTTTTCTTATTCTTATTTGTGATTTAAATAATATATTGTCTACGTGTCTTCTCTACCGTTCTACTGTATATAATTATTATTTTTCTATGAAAATGTTTTAAGACGTTCCAATACACCAGCTTTAAAAGATTATTTGATTTTTCTACTCTATTAATAGTGTGATATATCTGTTTGTTTCCTAATAAACATATTATACAAATGGTCTTCATATCAATTAGACCATCTGTTATCCATATTCACTTACTATTTAGTATTGATAATCAAATCTCTGAGTTTTTGTTTCGCGCATTGAGAGAACCACATCGAAATTGCATACTTAAAGGTGGAAATCGGTCTGTTGGAAGTTATAGAGTAAGGGTGCTGGTTCTTGTCCATAAACCTATTTAACATACATTTTTAATTAATTGAGTAGGAAATTAATAGTCGCTGTGTCAAACATTCTGCGTTTTAATTATCATCCGAGTTACTAAAGTGCTTTCCCTAAATCGGTATGAAAGTTTATTTTACACAAAAACTCAAAATAACATAGTATTTTCTTTCTAGCATCACAGCACATGCTATCAGATGTGTCCCACTTGCCGGGAGTTCAACTGGGAAACTTCTTACTCCAGTTCGAGTTGGAAGAACCCAATGAAGCGGTCCGTGAGATCGCGAGACGGGAACTACGGGAAACGCCAGAAAACATCCAACCAGCTGTTGATGAACTAAGGAGGCTTTTAGAAGGTACCTTTATAATTCTTCTGTCATGTTTTAGCAAATATAATAACGATAAGGATAGGTTACATTTTAGGCAATCTATGTGTATCGAACACTTGCCCGTACGACGAAGGAAAACATCGTGAGAACGTGTGACTCAAATCCGAAGATCAACGACTTGAGTCAGACAAGGCTGATCACATACTTGTCCATGAAATAAAAAACGAACAAAGAAACGGATGCAATCTGAGGCCGAGTCCCATATAGTGTTGTTACGCCACGGGTTTTTTTTTTGGGCCTCAAAACTAGGCATATATTTGATATATTTGTATGAGTTGAATGGGACAAAACGTAGTCCTTTTTGCTAGATATAGCGCGTCACAATTTATATAGGTATAGTGCCACGGCGAAGGCCAAGGTTATTTGCGATACTAAGGGCCAGAACCAGTCTGTTGCACAGATCCCCCTTTTCAAAGACGTTGCGCCTACTGAATGCTGTCTCCGACACTATCGACATATTTATTTATAGGTTCGCAGAGTTAACAATAGCGATATTGTGTATATTATGTATACTTTATTATATTTTATTTTTCTCGACATTATCGTATTTGCATAGTCTGTAAGGATAATGTATGATTAATGATTTAACAGTTAAGGCAACAGATAAACAAACTCAGTCCACCATGTCGTTATTATAATTGTATGATAATTTTCGCAGCTCTGGACGAATAAAATAAATTAAGACAATATATTCCAATTTTGATTATTCTCAACTTGTACAATTGAAATATTTCGAAAACAGTTACCAGAGTTATTAGATTAGAAACCTCCCCGAATATTTCGGTGTGAAATGTATGGATGATTAAACTGCTAAAAACTGTGAACATTGGAAACTAATAATAAAACCATCTGAAAAATTTCATAATGGTGGTAGTTTCATGTCATTTATCATCATGTAGGCGTGAAGGAGCTATAACTTTTCTTTTATATATATTGTTACCAAGCAATGACATCCAACGAGATTCGCAGTAAAATTATCTAATTACAAATTAAGGGGAAACCTGCATATGTAGGGTATTTGCTATTTCTCCCAATCTAACATAATATACTCGTATAAGCTGTAATATTATAATCTTTTTTTCTCAGTCTTCAATGTTAAAAGTAATATTTGCCACATATGAGTAATTGCTAAAGTAAATCATTTAAATTGAGACGTTTTTCTGTAGCAGTTCTTGGATTGAATTCTTAGTTACTTTCCGGGCAGGAATCCTTACAGATATATTAGATAGATTACCAAATATATAGAACTTTATATTTTCTATAGTTTAGTATGATATTCGATGTATGTTTCGTATAGTTCAAAATACACGAAATAAATTGCAAGAAATATTTATATATACTAGTGGACCCCACAGACGTTGTCCTGCATGATATTTAAAGCGATTAGGATATTAAGCAAAGTATGAAAGTACCGACTGCAGTGCCATCTGCCGGGCTGATTTGTGAATCTAAACCATTCTCGAATCTCCACGAACACACACAAAAAATTTCATCAAAATTGGTCCAGTCGTTTAGGAGGAGTTCAGTCACATACACACGCACACAAGAAATATATATATTAAGATTGTGTTAGTTAAAAGTGTAGTGTCAAGCCTTCAAGACCAATTCTGTTAAGTGTAGGTATAGCAACTTGTATCATGATTATATTTGTAAATGGTGGAAAAAGTCTTGATGACTCTTGACTTGCAATTCACCTTTGAAGGACATATGTTTTTGTAGCACTTATCAAGCATGTGTGAAATTAAACATGTTTTTGTTTATTTTTAGCGGACAAGGATCTGTATGTCCCCTGTGAACGCGACGCGTGGCTCATCAGATTTCTCCGACCTTGCAAATTCTACCCTGAAAGTGCCTACGCCTTGGTGAGTTCGTAAAAACTTTGAAATGACAGTTAAGTTATTCTTGTTGATGGTTGCAGGAGTCGGCTAAAATATCTTAATTTTTTAGTTAAACTAAGACATTATTGACTTAATTTTTTCTTACATGTGCTTGTTGTTGTTGCACACGTTGTTGTTGCAGACATTGTTGTTGTTGACATTTATGTTGTTATTTCACCAATGCACCATGTACATTGTGCATGTTCTTGTTTTCGTTTAGCTTCATACATCTCTATACAGTATATGTTCAATCTTTCCCGATAAACGCTTTTATTTTACTATGCATTAAACTTAACCAATTTACCATATTAATATGAATAGAAGTAACATTTAATTTTATTAATTATTATTTTTTATTAATTATGTCATATGTATGTTTATACAAAAAACTAAAGCTTTAAAAATTCCGATTTAAAGCATATCTTTAAATATATTTTAATCTTCTTAGTCTCAATCTTCAGCTTTTCTTACGTACGGAGGCAGTCGAGACCAAAACAGTTTTATAATATTCATAATAATTTATTTCCCACATAATTATTCTTTTATTTCCACATAATTATACTATCATTATCTTAACAGTTACTACTAATAAGATATAACCCCACAATAATACATAAACCGAAAATTTTGCAATTAAAATAAATAAATAAAAATGTTTAAGAGAATTCCAGCGAAGCTTATGTTAACTTAAACAATAATTTCAGATCAAACGCTATTACGGATTCAAAGTAAAGCATCACAAACATTATGAAGGACTAACACCAAGCAAAGAACAGAATGTTTTCAACCAGAATGTCCTCAAAGTTCTTCCCACGAGAGATCAGCTCGGGCGAAGGGTGCTGGTTCTGGAACTTGGCAGTGAGTATTATTCGACATATCTGAAAGGAATACAACCTTACATGAGCAGTCTGCCAACTAATGAGTACATAAAGCAGCTGGTTTCTGAATGGACTGGAGATGGGACAATTTAATATTATTTTTAATAGTGAAAAAAAGAAGTTGCCTTGCTTTAATTTCTATGAAAGTCAAAGTCAAATCATTTATTTCAATTAGACCACCTAAAATGCCACTTTTGAACGTCAAACAAAAAAAAAAAGAAGATTCTAGTTGCCCCTTCCAAAAGGTAGTTTCGTGCGGAGAAGAATGGGCAAGAAACTCCACACTTACTCTTTTAAAATAGGTTTACAATATTTTGTTTACATTTGTTAAATAATTATATGTGAAGAAAATGTATTCTTAGAATATATAATATGCCTATGCCAAATGCGCTGAAGGATGCTGGAAGAAAATATATGTTTAATTTCCAATTTGATTACGATGTTATCATCAAAATCTATCTATCATTTAAAATCCATCAACATATATCAAGAAGACTTTTATCAATGTCATCAATTACAGTAATTACTCCCATTAAATTGTAATAAACCTCCAACTTCCATACATTGTCATTATCATTTGACGTAATGTAATTTTAGCTATTTTTTAGTATCTACAATGCCATCCGTTGCGATATTAGTTATACTTCACCATCAGCATGTATGAACTAGCAGTGTATAATATATACCTATAATATATTCCTTTATTTCTATTATCACTTGATTATTTAAAAAAAAAGGGGACTCCCACCAGAATCTCGGAAGATGGAATAAAAGGGATAGGATGAAAGACAAGTGAAAGAATTTGGAGGAGGTTTTCACTTCGTCGAAGGTCGTGTACTAATGTTAAACATAAGGACATAATGTAATCCTGATTATGTAGTACTCGAATACATGCTATTTTAATTTTTATTTCATAATACACTCCGCAGTTTTAACCCGTGCTAATATTTTCGTTAGTATTGAACGCAAGTCTTAACATGAAGTGTCCCATTTTTTGAATATTTACATTTAAGAGAAACTCTTAAAGTTATAATATCAAACTGTTAATGGTGAAACAAAAGAACATGTCGAAGATAAGTTTTACAACCAATTAACTACAAATCAAATCAAATCAAAATACGTTTATTCAGTTTAGATGCGTCTTAGGAGATGCTATGACATTCATCAAAAACGTTTACAAAATTCGCGAAAGAGCAAGACTACGCCATCCGTTCGCGTGTACAATGTTACAAAATACAATAGCCAGACGATAGGAAAACAATAGGAGGCACAACTTTGACAAGAAGAGCTAACATTAGGAAAGAATGGAAGTAGCGGGAAGAGGCCTATGTGTCACAGGTCACGATTACCAAAACCGGCACATGTGATGTATTAGATTAAGTTAGGTTATGTAACTTAAACAAGTGTTTATATTTATATTATACTGGGTGTCAGATGGTGGGATAGAAGCACTCCACTTAGTAGTTAAATGTCCGGACACGGGACCAGTAGATACGATATGGAACAGAAAGCAAGCAGGAGTATGAGGAAAACATCAGTTCACTTTTAGCAGACAAGGAGACTTGATCATATCTGATGATGTTTCTATGTAGGGTGCCAAAATACTGAAAGACGAAAAAGTGGCAAACTACAGTATGGCCTTCCTCGATATATTTACTATACAAAATTCAAATCGAAGTAGTGGTTCCTGAGATTATTCTAAAGAGATTAGAGAGATTATAGGTGTGTTGGCTGAACACAATCTTTTATCCAAATGTAACTATATATGTAGATACATAGTATAAAACATACCCGCTTCCCGCTGTCTGTAAACTTAATATTTTTTTCTACGTCAATGGACGGGATTATATGTATATTTATAAAACATACAACATAGTTAAGACACCGCAAATATTTCAAATAATCGTTCATCTCAAACAAATATTTATTGATTGACAACAAGGGCTTAGTAATAAATAGAAATTGTCATAAAAAGTATTTATTAAATTCAGCGCATTTGGCAATATCTCTGCTCCCGCTCATAAATTCAGTACATTAGAGAATGGTCTATTCGGATAGAAATCAATACTAATTTTCTTTAACCATGCAAGTATACCTGCAAAATAGGTACGTATATAACTTATTGACCTAGGTAATATAACTACAGTCCCGTACATAGTCAAGAACCAAGGTTTACCTAATAAATTAAGATTCTCTCTTTCAACGTTTCTTCAGATAATTGCTTCGTTACATATGTCATTTGTTAACACCTCGCAGTTTGTTGTTCACTTGAACTCAACCTTTGTAAAATGAAACAAGTTTTTGTTACTTTATATAAATTCATAATGGGGTTAAAAGTCTCGGCGTAATGACAATTTTGCTATTAATGTACTAGGAATATTCCAAAAACGACGTCTGCGCATCTTGAGTATTTATTAAACATATTTTTCGGTATAAAACTTTATAATAATTGGGAGTATCAAGGAACTCTTCTAGATGAGTAAGAAACAATAGAGGATTGTGCAAGCAGTGTGAAAGTACGTCAATGAAAAAATAAAATAATAGACAATATTCAAGACACATGTCGCAGACAGGAAGTGGAGAATAGGATGTATTGACAGCTATCAAAATGACATATGTCATTACTAATTGCGTCATCAAGCCTTATAAAATTTAAGATGTTTACAATTCATATTCCGTTTTCGTCATAATTCTCGGTATAACAAGGCATATAGATAGGAAAATTATACCACGTATAATTAGATAACAATAAAAAAATATATAATTATGTTGATTCCTGTCAACCAGCATTTGAGTACAAAATTGCCAAATTATCTACGTTGTAGTAAAAAAATACATTGTATGAGTTCAGTCACCGCGTCGTGATCTCACGTAGTCACACTTGGCTGGGTGATGCCAAAAGTATGTTTTGGTTATTACGGAACGTTACACAAAATGGTAATTTTGCCTGCTTGCCTGCTTACTTACCTAATAAAAACAATAACAAAACAAATGCAAATACCTATATCACACAAAGAAACAAAACAGATACATTAAAATGCGAATAGTACAAAAAAGTGCTCGTTTCACAGAGAACAATAAAAAATCAATAGACACGAAAAAGAAGAACAATGAACTAATAAAACGAATATACATATTGGTGCTCAGCCATGAAAAACAGTTGACAATCGTTTAACCATTCATCCAGCATGGCTCTCAAATTATTTAAACAAGTTTTAATAAAAATAATTCCACTAGTTAAAGCTGATAATAACATAACTTTTTCAGAAAATTGGAACCACAACAAATGCACACTAGACGAGGTGTTCAAAGGCTGTGTTCTCTTCCTAGAGGGCGCGATGTTGGAGCCAGAGACACAGATATGCGGCGCTGTCGTGATATTTGACATGGACGGTCTGTCTTTGCAACAAGTTTGGCAATTCACCCCACAATTCGCAAAGAGAATTGTCGATTGGCTACAGGTCAGTATTAGTTATTAGTTTTCGTTTTTGAGAATCAGGTCCGATAAACCTACACCAGTTATCATGATAGGCAAAAAGGTTCGATCTGAATAGCTATTTTTAAATATTGTTGGAAACGAACATAGAACCTACGGCTGTGCGCTAACTAAGGCATGTAGGTGGTAAAAACAAGTTATCTGGTTAAAACTTCTATTTTTTATCACTATTATTTCTAAAAACAATACCGAAATTATACTTGAAAACACTTTGTTACAAAATAGGATCATAATTGCGATAAAGCGTTAAGAATGTTGCATACAACAATTTATCTAATAGAACGATGATATTTATTTTATGGAAATATAAATACCAATTGGTTTTTAAATGTCGCAATGTCAATTACAGCGCGGTGATGTACTGGTTTTTGCCATTCACACGAATTAAGTAGGATTAAAAAAAACTCTTTCATAAGAATGTCACAAAATTAATGTTAAGAATATTTAACGTCAACCGATATATTTGATGCAAAGGAAAACTTTATATACATAATTCTATTGTACGTGTGTATGTCACTGAAATCCTCTTAAACAAATCAGCCCGGCAGATGACGCTGCAGTCGGTACTTTTATACTTTGTTTAATATCCTAATCTCTTGAAACATCATGCAGGACGTCTTTCGGGTCCGCTAGTTAATAATTTGTTGCCAGTAAAATCAAAAATAAATAAATGATAAATACTATTAGTACTTATGCAGCACAAGCATTAGTTGCCTATTTGTTGGTTCAGGGACAATTTATGATACAGTTAATATGTATTTCCATAATTAAAAGGATAGAATAAAGAGCAGCTGGGTCTTTATTACATCCCTTGGTCTTTGCCTCAGATTTCAGTAACTGTTTCCTTAATGGGTAGATGATCAGCCTTCTGCCTGAAACACGACGTTGATTTTTGGCCCTATATTTTTCTCCAATTTTACTCCAACATACGACCTCGGGTATGAGATTCTCATGAGGAAGCCACTAGGCCATAGTGCTCTGTGTTTTTATAATAAGAGTCAAGAAATTGTTAATGCCCGCAATATTCTTCATTCATATATCATTCATATATAGATATCAGAATCAAAATTTTGGGGTTTACTAACCAACCATTTAGAGTCTAAATATTCTTTAACAATCTTCTTTGTTCTAGGAATGCATCCCTCTCAGAATAAAAGGTCTATACATCATAAACCAGCCGTACATCTTCAATATGGTGTTCCAGTTATTCAAGCCCATCTTGCAAGAGAAATTGCGTTCTCGAATAGTATTTTTGGGCAATGATAGGGAGCTTCTTTACAAATATATAAATCCTAAATGTCTTCCTGAAAAATATGGAGGGAGTTTAAACATACCGGATGTCACCGGGGCGCAGTGGTTGGAGCTTTTGATGTATTGCGATAAGGAATATCTTGGTTAGTATAATATCATAATATTATTTGTTGATTAAAGATTGGTTGAGTTTGTTTGATGCGACAAAAGATGGCGCTTTGATAAAGACTTCTATAAAAAAATTAATAGTAGGGTAATAAGTGAAATCCATGACGTTTATCGTGAAAACTGTTTTTAACATCATTCAAAGCATTCAAAGCTTTTTAATCTTTAACTATGTATTATTACATTATTTCTTTTTTCAGCGATCAACTCTTATGGATACAAGAAAAACAAGTGATATCCTTCACGACTCGTCTATAATTTGTGATATTAATTATTAATAAGAAAAAACACTGTTACACCTATAGAAATAAGTATATGAAAGAACATACATACAAAAACATTAATATCATGTTTTCTTAGAATGAACTTAAACAAAAATCCTCAATGAAATTTAGTTTTGACCTGTCAACTGTCAAAACACGTACCACACGCACACAGATATAGATACAACATTATTGAATAGCAGATAGCTATTACTTTTTGAGGTCTCATATAAAATGTTAGTAGAATTTAAATGAGCAATTATTCTACTTCATATCATACCAATAATACATGTCAAAAAACGGTGACATACTAGTAAAAATGTTTTATAATAATCAAAGAAATAATGTATTGTAAGTTTTGTGGTGGTAATGGAGGAAGTATAACAATGTGCCTTAAATTTTGACATAAATTTAAGCGCGAACTATTATTCTCACCTGCCAAATGTTCACAGCATTTTGACAGATCTTGTATCTGAATTTTATACTTAATATGAAAAAGGATAAAGGACTTCATTATATAAATGTATAGCCCCCAGTAGACCTGATTTAACAAACCAGGAATTCCGCGGAACGAAAACTCTATTGGAATCGCTATGGTATGCGACATTTAAATTCTTTATTCCATTTCATTGTTAGTAGTTTAATCTTAAGAACCATATCATGAATTATGTAATGTTTATTTTATATATATAAAAAAAAAATATCACATTCCTATTTTACGTTACTTTTAGACACTTTTATTTTATATTATTAAGATTATATGATATGACATAGGCTGTGAAGGAATATCTATGTTAATATAAAATGTAGAATTTATTCTGCATCTGTAAATGTCAAATTATTATAAGTGTATATGCCATGCTTGCCTTATACTTATCATTGGTAAGAACTTGTTTGAAAAAATCCAGTCGTGATTTTTACGATTAGTTATATTAATGGGTAGTAGACACAATAAGCATCATTTCTCTGTCAAATATATGATATTTGGTATTAGCCTAAATTTGCCCAAAGGCTCTATGAAGTGTATTTTCTGAAGAAAATCGCTCCATAATCTTCTTCGCTTTTCGCATTGCTATTCAAAAATCTAAAGCTCGTGGTAATTACAACTAGTATTTGTGTTAATCAGTATGGTTGAAATTTATACAGCTTAAAATTTCCTTAAACTCTTTCGCCAAACATAACTGTATTTAGCGTCCTTCTGCATTAGGAATACACAGAGCAAACAAGAGCTCAGGCGAATGCCTAGGAACTTACATCATTTATATTCATATCTTTCTAAGCTACGGGCATTATTTTTCATACATAGAAATACAGTTCATGTTTAACGAGGAGTATAGAAGTCTAAAAGGACTTTATAACGCATTATTAATTTCAATCTGAATTCTAATGATATTACAAAATAAAAAATAAAATATTTGTATGATATTACATAATATGTATTTGTTGGGTATACAGGGTAATGACAATAAACTTAATAAATATATCTTTAAAATTAATTCATATTATTTCACATTACTTAACAATCAGATATTTTATACTTTGAATTTATTAATTAATAGTTTAAGGAATTAATGGGTTAAAGAAGCGTATAAATGTAATAATAAAACAAAGATTATTTTAAATGCATTTTTATTTAGAATCCCACATACATTAATAAAATATTATATTAAGTAACTCAATCATTATCTGGTAGTGTTTATGGGTTCATATTTTGAATCGCAGTTTTGGCCTAGTGGCATCAACGTGCGACTCTCGTCCCTAGGAGGCTGAGGTCGTGGTTCGATCCCCGGCGTGCACCAATAGACTTTGTCTATGTGCGCATTTAACATTCGCTCGAACGGTGAAGGAAAACATCGTGAGGAAACCGGCTTGCCTTGGACCCAAAAAGTCGACGGCGTGTGTCAGACGCAGGAGGTTGATCACCTACTTGCCTATTAGATTAACAAACGATCATTAAAGAGATACAAAAATCTGAGGACCAGGCCTAAAAAGGTGCCACTGATTTTTTTTTTTTATTATGAATCACAAGTCAAAGAGCAGGTCAGCAGATCTTGAAACAGTTTATTACACGTATTGGAAGACGCACCTTAAATTAATAATAATTAATTGTACTATGTCTTAAAAATACTATATTAACCATAAAAACCACGAACCCACTATATATTATTGTGCGTACATAGAATAATATATATTTGAATCCAAATAAATTAGCGCTGTAACCATGAAGTCGTACACCGGTCAAAGGTCAAAGACCCTAAGAAAACTATATCTATATATTATCACAAAAATGAGTTCTAAATGCCGATTAAATAAGTCTGCGTTGTTTGACGGTTATAAACATTAAAATATTTATTGTAAAAGAGAGCATATGACTCCTGTAATCTTCCGTTGTCAGTGCCTCGGCAGTAATCACATCAGCTGACATTGATGCCGTTTCCCCACAAGAGCCTGTCACGACTGCATCAACATTTGTTGTTGTTGTTGACATAACCATGACATATTTTGGCTGAAAATTAAATGAAAAATTAAATAACTTAATAATAACAATAATAATAATTTATTGCAAGAATATGGCACAAATTTTAGTATGGTGGTACAATCGTATGTAAGTTCGCATATTGTGCCACACACAATGGCGCGAATATTTGTCTTTAAAGGAATTTTACATTATTAGTCATATGAATTGGTCAATTGTTACATTATTTGTTTCGTACATATCATATCATACGTTATTAAATTTATATATATCAATCAATACATTTACAAATCATTTATTAAATAGTACATTAGGCAGGGGTTAGACTGTCAATAAATATCGCGATTCAATATCACGATACCTTTTTCAATATATGTATATTGAATCAACTGGTCCTACGAGTACTACACTTTCAATAGATATTGACTTCAATATCGTCAGTAGTCATAAAATCGTTCTACGGAGTAGACGTGTTTCGTAATAATGGACGATAAAAGTAAGGCCTGTATTGCCATAATCATTAAAAAACAAATACAGATTAGAAATTCCTAATACCAAAAGTATAAGCTCCATAGCACGTCTCCCAATTTAAATTAATGACAAATCTATATTTCCATATTCCATATGCGTCGAAATATAGAGGCATTTCCTTTTGCGTACTAGCGATCTTCGCAATCGGCTTCCAGCGGAGGACTTCCCTTCCAAATTTAAGAAAAGAGAGCATCTGAAAAGCCGGCACCCAATAACTTGGGAGTCCATAATCTACGGTAGCTGCTGATTCCGTAGATTCGTTTGCTTAATATAGATCCCAGTCATTCTAATCGCGTTTCCTTATTACCGTCCAATAGGCAATAACAGGATGGTTATATCATCTCACTATAAGAGGGAAGGGACAATATGCGGTAAATGTTTGTGTTTATATATTTGTACAGTTAATATGTATTATATAGCGATGCATGTTCGTGATTTAGTTCCAAATACGGCCACGGAGCGCGCCTTAAGTTTTCCATACAAACGGTATTGTTATTTTTGGAATAAGAAATCCAATACAATGTTTAAAATTTGGGAATCCTTTTAAGTAAAAAATACCTGTGTCAGGGTTCCCAGCTCTTCAATAATAAACTTATTTTTTTACTGTTTTTTAAATCACAATTTCATTTTTTTTAACAATAAACAACGTAACGTGCGTGAGTTAGTGGGTGCATGTGAGTAAATGAGTGAGTGTAATGTGTATGAATGTGTAACTACATGTTAGGTCTCAGTAGCATCTCCAACTCTGCCTCAGGTGTCTTCAAAAGCCAGTCCTTTAACCGTTTTTTTAAACTGTGAACGGTGAGCGGGTGGATGTTTATTGTTGTGTGTGTGTGTGTATATTTAAGTAAATATCACATATTCTTCGTGCTTATAAAAAATATTCATTGTATAACAATTATCTAATGATTGAATAAATTGTATATTTAATGATATTAGTATACATACTTTTAAAATCCTCTTCATAGTGACAAAGCATTTTCCACATTATATCTCCAGTTTCCTCATTTTCCGGAAGGGTTCCACCACACCTCTCTACCAGTTGCGAGGCATCTACGTCTTTAAGCAGCAAAGTTGTGTCAGATCCGTGGAAATGTATCCGCGAGCGTAACTTCGTACTTAGAAATGGTTTGAAAAGTGCAAATAACATATTGAAGATGTATGGTTGATTTATAATGTGCACTCCTTTTAGACGGACCGGTATGCAATCCTGGAATAATAAAAAAACATTAGACGATGCGAAGGCTGAACATTTTGGTCACTTAGGTTTTGTTAGTTTTTTTTTAATTGCGGTTTTTTTGGACCTAGGGGATATAATCACGGTGAAGGCCATATGCGACGGTGAAGGCCAGAACCATTGTTTGCCATCGACATCTTTACAAGTTCCAAGTGATTGTTCATAGTAGCAATATTGTGTATCTTATGTATTTTATATTATATTTCTTTTTTTTTCGATTTTTTGTATTGGCTTAGTCGACTGTAGTCAATAAATAAATGTTAAGTGTTATTAACGCCAACACTTGGATGGACACTCCCAATGCCAAAGGACTCGCGATTGCTTTGTCGGCCTTTAAGTAGTTTAAAAGCGAAGGGATTTCCTTAATCGTCGCAATAAAACTTTCGTATTTATTATTTTGCTATAACTCACTCACTTTTGCTATAACTAACTCACAGCGGTTTTCGCTTTCGAAGCAGTCATTTTACGATTTGGCATTCTGATAAACAATAAACCACAAGCTACCTCCGCTTGTCAAGACGTAATGTGAAATTGCTTAACAGAATACAAGAGATTCCAAAAATGAAAATTTACAGATGCAGAATAATGAAGGGAGCGTTATTAGTGCGTGAACTCACGGATTAACAGAATCGCACGGCTGTAGTAAAAAATTAACCAGAGGCACTACAAGCTTCTAGGTCTTGACCCCAGTAGTTTTGTATCTGATTCGGGATCTTGTTCTAATAGACAAGTAGGTGATAAGCCTTATGTGTTTGACACACGCCGTCATTTTTGGGCATGCCTTTCCTCATGATGTTATTATTTATTTTATTGTTGCGCATAATCATCACATATACACATAATATCGCAGCACACAACTCCCGAGGTCGCACTGGTCCAACAAGCAACCGCGAATATACAAAGTAAATATATAAATAACAATTATTTAGAAATATAACAGGGCAAACAAAAACAAAAGTAAAAAATTAACTCTACAACTACAAGGTTCCTTCACTTAAAGAACTTCACAAGTGTTTTTAAGAACAATAATACAGCCTTGCGATTCTGTAACTCACTTTTCGAACTCTCACAGCGGTTTTCACAACGGCGGTCACGCTCAAATCAGTAGTGAAGCAGTCATTTAACGATTTGGCATTCTGATAAACAATCAACTACAAGCTCCCTCCTTCCTCCTCGTAAAGTGACTGATTTGAGCGCGACCGCCGCTCCAAGAACCGCTGTGAGAGTTCGAAAAGTGAGTTAAAGAATCGCAAGGCTGTATGTTAAAAATATAACAATAATTGAGAAAATATATTTTTACGTAAAACTTTTATGTTTTATTTCAAACTTCCTTAATTTTAAAATTAAATTAAAAAATCTTGTGTACCTATATATGACGAGGCATGAAAGGATTAGTTTTTATCCTACACCTGCTTGGAAAATACTTTGATAAAATGAAAAAATTTGTTTCAGTCTTTTTCATAAAAAACTGGAATACGTATTTACTTAGGTTATTTATTTGCATATTTTTGTCAATTTCTCTTTACCACGGTATGACATAAAAATATTATTAATTAAATTATTACAGCTTTATTTAAAAAAAAATTAGAACAGGGGCCAGAGGGCTCGCGTGTGCGTTGCCGGTTGCCTTCTATGGTTAACTTAGGTCAATTGCAGATACATAAATTACCAACCTGTATCCAATCCACTATCATTTTGGCAAAAGATGGCGTGAAATGCATAATGTGCGACAGCGAGAGTCCTTTTAAGTTTACTGCAACGTTGACACCGCTTACTTGGGTCCGGGGCTCCTCCAGTGCGGACTCCAAAGCTATCTGTACCCCACGGAACACTTCAGAAAGTGGTATTACACTTGGCTTCCAACGTTCTGAAATTATTATTTTATTTACAAAAGCTTGCCATCGCTCGGCACACTGATACATTGGTACATAAAGAAAAATAAAATACAAGATTTAATGTAACAAACACGAAGAGAAAAAAATATATATCGATTCATAAATTATAAAAACTCGTTTATCAGAATGCTCGATCTGGATATCGGAGAGATTTGAAGAAAAGTTCTTCTGAAAGGAGAGAAATGATGGGATGCCTAAGGTTGGGGCAATCAATTTGATTCATAAATATCTTACACGCAAATTAATTCAAAATTGGAATTAATTAATTCTCAACGATTCTCCATAAAATTTTACTTTGTTTTGCTGTTTCCTTGGTTGGGTTGTCGATAGTAGCTGTGTTGAAGAAGGGGTTTCCCTCATCCTTTTGCTAGTTTTAGTTTCCTTAAGTACTGTAAAAATGCTATGGTTCTTTATTTTCTTCTAGTTATTGCGGTTGTAAAGTTTTCCTTTTCTATAAAACTTCTATTGAGTAGCCTTCCGCTGTGTAAATTCTTGATTCCTTCAATATTTATGCATATTAAGTCTTTGTCGGTTTCCTTGACAATATCTCTGATATTAAATCTCTTCCAATCCAAAAATAATTATGTTATTTCTTTTTATACTTTTTCAAAGACTTAATGTCTTTTTCAAGGTAGTTAGTTAGATCCATCCGATCCACGCTTTTGGTGAGAGATTCTACTGCTAACTGTAGTTCTGATATCTGTTTCTGATTTGGAAAACCGGTAGGTTTATTGTCGTATTCCAAATACCTAATTTGTTTAAATAATGAATCACTTGTCGACGGCAGTTTCACTTTAGAGCGATAACGGTTATTTGAATAGGGTTTTACTCAATTTATCACTTTATTACAGGTCCGAATGTGGTTAAAATTTCACTTCGGCCCTGCGATTCTGTAACTCACTTTCGAAAAGTGAGTTACAGAATCGCAGGGCAGAATTGCACTATTTATTAGATTTATTGCTATTTTTAAGTTTTTAACAGTTAATACTTTTGGAATGTTATATCTGATTTATTACGATAAAGACATACAAGTCTCTTTGACAAACACTCTTGCTTAAGAACTAATAAAAAATAAATTAGTGGTACAACTTTTTTTAAGTCTGGGCCTCAGATTTCTGAGCTCGCGATCAACTGCAACTTTACGAGTATAACTATGCGTAATAAAATTATTTGCAAATAGCAAGTACCTCCAGATTCCACGAACAGTAGGCGACGGCCTTGCTGGTCTCTGGGGGACAGCATGGAAACAATGGAGTTCTGGAATGCAGCCTGAGTGGCTCTCGGAGTGAGATCCTTGCAATAGTTCGCATATGACAAACGGAATTTGTAATAGGCTTTTATCTGGAAGTGAAAGAAAAAATACTCAGTACAAAAAAAATTAAGCCTATTACTAGCGAAAAAAGCTAAATCTTTTTTTAACAAAACTGTTTACAAAAGAAAAAACTGTTACAGTTTGTTTTAAACACTTTTTTAATAATTTACTGATACAAAATTTACGATTTCTCTTTTAGAAGTATCCAAAACTTTAACATAGAATAATAATCTTCTTTTATTTGGATGGTATCGTCATGTAAGTACAAATTTCGCCATCCGATCATCAAATAGTATAATAACTTTGCCATGCTATTCGTTAAAATTTAAAGTATTGATATATATTTAATATATAGGTATGTAAAAATTATACCCTTTTAAAAGCACTTTCGGCGTAGAACTTGCATGGTCTCAAAAACTTCATCAGGAACACATCATCTTCCATTGGTACAACCAGGTCTAATTCTCCTATAAAAAAATAAAAGAGGGTTTTAGATTGAACGTTTCTAAGCAATTTCGACTCTGGTACGACATCTTAGGGATTGGAGTTAGAAGCATTTTCGTATTTGACCATTGATTTTAGGACATAATATACGAAGTTTGATATTTCTTATACACTTGTTGCTAACTGGATTGATGGCTGTATCAATTAAAGGCACAATTTATTGTTCTTGAACCTCAAGGTCACGATAATTCTCAGTTGCAAGTGTGTAATTTAAGAGTATACATATTCTTCGTAGTTATTTGTAGTGACAAATCTTTCTTAGATAACCGTAAAATTTTTGCGATATTGCAAACCGTCGATTATTTTAAATTTAATTTTGGTACGCACGATGTTACGTGGAAAATAGAAGGTTTTACAATTTATGAGCTTGATTGGTCAATAATTGTGAGTCACCTAACAAAAATCATTGCCGTCAAAGTTCCTATCCAGGTTACAATAAGAAAACGAAAGATATTATCTACTTTCGATTAAAATTCCTCTAAAATTATTAATTAAGAGGTTGTGAGGTTGTTTTTATAACAATCAACATTTTAAGCATCAAGATAAAATAATTATACATCAGGGGTCAAACGGGCAGGAGGCTCACCTGATGTCAAGTGATATGAACACTGCCATAAGGCTCGCAAGTGGCCATTGAGGAATTGGTACGTTGGAATCTTGAAGGATCCTCGAATCGAATTCAGTCGAGTCGAATGGGTTTGTTAGAGGCAAATTTTGCCTGTGCTGTGTTTGCAAGTGGCACCCGATGCTGAGAAGGGCCGCTTGCCATCCCAATCTGCTGACAAGTGCCACAGGCTCACCTGATGTTGAGTGATATCGTCACCCATGCTCCGGTATTAATCCGAACAACTCCTTTAAGTATGTTCAAGGATATAAAAAACATTTTAGTTTCGTTAGTTGACAACACTTGTTTAAATCTATGAGCTTAGGCTCATAGAGTGATATCGTCGAACATACTCCGGTATTAATCCGAACAACTCCTTTAAGTATGTTCAAGGATATAAAAAACATTTTAGTTTCGTTAGTTGACAACACTTGTTTAAATCTATGAGCTTAGGCTAATAGAGTGATATCGTCGAACATACTCCGGTATTAATTCGAACATGAACTCCTTTAAGTATGTTCAAGGATATAAAAAAAGGGTGCGTGTACTAATGTACGCGCGTAAGAAGTTATACTTCTTTGGCTTTCTTTATTTTTTTTTTAATATTAAATAATTTATAATAAATATATAACGTTAATAATTTAATAATATTTAGTATATTATTCAATGATTAATTAATATTATTAATAATTTTATTATATTATTCATTCAATTTAATAACTAGGTATGTTTCATAACCTTTTAACTAAGTAACAATAGGTCTTTGTGAAAAAGCATTGCTAAATATATTTGAAAAAATAATTCAAACTCCTTTATTTGTGTAAGAGGTACTATAAAGGTCATTATGGTCATTCAAAATTCTTGGCATAGCTGCTAACTTCACGCATATTCTATTTCTTTTTACTTGTAGATTGTCTTATTCCCATCTATCTCCCACGCTCACGCCCGGCTGGTTTAAAAAGAATTTGTAGTGGGCAACTCATACTGATAATTTTGTGTAACGGTGCGCGCGCATCGTAAAATTTCACTCTCATCAATTTTTCATAACGCGCCTAATGAAGTATAACTTCAAAAACATTTTAGTTTCGTTAGTTGACAACACTCGTTTAAATCTATGAGCTTAGGCTCATAGAGTGATATCGTCGAACATACTCCGGTATTAATCCGAACAACTCCTTTAAGTCTGTTCAAGGATATAAAAAAACATTTTAGTTTCGTTAGTTGACAACACTTGTTTAAATCTATGAGCTTAGGCTCATAGAGTGATGTCGTCGAACATACTCCGGTATTAATCCGAACAACTCCTTTAAGTATGTTCAAGGATATAAAAAACATTTTAGTTTCGTTAGTTGACAACACTTGTTTAAATCTATGAGCTTAGGCTCATAGAGTGATATCGTCGAACATACTCGGTTTAATCCGAACAACTCCTTTAAGTATGTTCAAGGATATAAAAAACATTTTAGTTTCGTTAGTTGACAACACTTGTTTAAATCTATGAGCTTAGGCTCATAGAGTGATATCGTCGAACATACTCCGGTATTAATCCGAACAACTCCTTTAAGTATGTTCAAGGATATAAAAAAAATTTAGTTTCGTTAGTTGACAACACTTGTTTAAATCTATGAGCTTAGGCTCATAGAGTGATATCGTCAAACATACTCCGGTATTATTTCGAACAACTCCTTTAAGTATGTTCAAGGATATAAAAAACATTTTAGTTTCGTTAATTGACAACACTTGTTTAAATCTATGAGCTTAGGCAAATATAATGAATATAATTAAGGGCTAATGGTAAATTAAATATTTGTTTAATCATTAAATGCGGTTCGCGTTCGATACCATTATTCCCACATAGATCGCATTTGTTTTTCGATCTCAATTTTTCCTTTTCACACGAATTTTTTACCATTACGTAAACATGACAATAGTTTTGTATACTATGGAAATATGTATGTAAATAGTATATTATAATAAATAGTATGTTCGACAGCCAAGTAAAAATTATGTTAAATATAAACGTGAAAGCGTAACATTTATATTTATGTACAAATGATGTCTGACGAAAGTAAAGGTATCAAATTTTCCATAACTTTCTCGTTTTGCTCAAGAACAACTTTCACTTTGCAACAAGCTTTACCTAGTTTACTGTGCATAGACTTGATAAAAATTTATCTATATCTTGTATGTATGGTGATTCCGTAATCCGTCGCATTTTTTGTAGAGTAAAAAAAAGAATTATTTATTATTATTATACATTACGTATTTAATTCATAATTCATATTAAGAACATTACAACATTCATGAGAAAATATGCTAATACAATAATACATTACGCTTATTTATAATATATTAAATTAGTAAACAAGTACAACAATACGAAGACCATACACGCAATTAAAAATTTTTAAACAGTTACACATCACAGAAAATAAAACAAGATAAATGAATACTAAGAATGAGCAAAATATCTACATTTAATCTTTGATCATTATTAATTACCTGATATGTAATGTGCCTTCAATACTAACTCATTTGTCTTAAAGTAACGAATGTAATATCAATGAATATATTATTTAAGAGATAATGGTTGCTTGATCGCAGCGAACATTTATCGTATAAATGTCGTATATACGTTAATTAAACAAATGAAATGTCCAAATATCCTTAATCATCACAATCAATTATCGTTTATCTTTAAAATACTATTAATAATTATGAACTAAACTTATAATTAAAGATAATATTTCAATTTATGACCTTGAGTAAATTCTATAAAATTTGAAATTAAATATGATTCATCAGTTTCACAAATATATAAAACTTATTTTAAGATATAACGGGTACCTAATATATAGTACTGTTGTTTAAGTATTTTAAAAAATTCTAACGCCGCAATGTACATCTATTAACATGATTTGCAACATGTTAACGACTCGCCAACCGGCTGTTATTCAATTTACATTGCTTTTTTATCTTTTTTGTACCTTTATGTACCTTTTTGCTTGAGCATATATAATTTTTTTTTATTTGGTTACTAAGCTTACGACATCACACACACACTACTATATCTACTAACTATTTTACAAAATCTACATCTAAAATGTGTGACAATTAAAGTAAACATAAGTTTCACAAAAAAAATAGAAATTAATAATTAAAACATATACAAGATAATACAAGCACACAATAAAGTAGAATAAAATTATAGAAATTTGTTGGCACTTAAAGCAGAAAAAAAAGAAAAATCATCAGCAAACCAGCGAATTAGGTTCGAGAAAGGCACCCCACAATGCTTTCTCTAAAACCGATAAAGTAACAAGTACAAAATATTGCTTAATTTTTTTTAAATTCCGTATCATGTCGACCGGTTTTGTAAGAAATCGTAATATATTTGGAATGTGAATAAGGTTATATAGATACTTGCCTTTTAATAGTTCACGTAACTCCCTAAGCCCTTTTTCTACATTTTCCGGCGTCTCTCTTAGTTCCTTTTCCGCTTTTTCAACATAATACTCTTCCGTAAATGGCTCTCTTTCTAATTGTATTCTATGTCCTCCCAATAAAACATACGGTGTACCATCATCATAGTACAACGCCATTTCGATGAGTTATAAACGATTAACAGTCCCTTCACTGGCACAGATTTCACGAGAATGTAAACATTATAAACACGAAAGTGGTGCTACGCTCGCGACACAACAGAAAGCAATGAGAATCAAGAACGGGGATCTCACCAATTTGTTTGAGGCTGCTTTATGTACTATGTACAGATAAACAATATATATGTCGCTGCCCACTAGCTTTATTAGCCGTTCAATGAACAGCCTAGGCTCTTTACTAAATAGCAGCGATTAAGAAGCGGCCTGAATTATATTTGCATTTGATCAATTAGCTAGGAAATGACTTGAATGAATGACGTTGACGTTACATTACTATCGTGTTCATTTCAGTTTAGTTCCACTTTCTGTCACCTACACCACTCTGTCAATAAAGGGTCAGCAAACAACAAATTCGATGATGTTTTCCAAAGTTGAATGAAAAATACTATTGAAGAGTGTAGTGACACTAAGAGTAAGCGTAAGAACACTAATAAGTTAAATTTAAATATATTAAATAAAGAATTTCGTATGTCAGATATTTCAATTTTATTTCTGTCACATGATCGTACGACTAAGCATTAGCCAGCCAGTTTATTAAATGTTACAAACGGCCAAATATGTTTCAGGCCGCTAGTTAAACGGCGCTGTTTCGTAAAGAAGCTAGGCTGTTGATTGAACGGCTAATTCAGCTAGTTGACTGCGACATATACAAAATATTTTAGACGGTTCAGATGTCGAAGTCTTTTATTTTCTTAAAACCGTACCGTAGTACCGTTCTTTCTAGTAGATTTCTTATGTATTCTGGTAATTAAACATTATTTTATCTGTACGTAAATGAGCTGAAGGTGAAAACTGCAGAAAACGCATTTATAAAGTGGTTTTATGTTTATTTAATAAATGGAAAATATTTGATTTTATAATGAATAATAAATATTTGAAAATAAATTTTCGTTGTAAATGCATTTTTCTGATTGTTTTTATAATTTGTATTATTACTAGAAAAAAATATATTATTTTATTAAAAGAATATATAAATAATTATAAGTTTGTATTTCAAGAAAAGTTTATTTAAATTTTACTATTAGTTAGTACTAAATATATAGGAGTAAAAAATATACTAAATGATCGACATAACGACTATATGATTTTCATATTTTTAAGGATAGAAATGAAGGAGTATCCGAGGCTGGTCATCATCATCAGGCAATAAAGGCTTGAAATCTACGGTTCTAATTCAATTGAAATTTCAGTGTAACCATGATTACGAGGCATCTCTTAGTTCCAATATGGGAATATTGGAATAAGACGCCGATTCCCACCAAACAATTTTCTTTTAGTCCTGTGTTTTTTCATTTTTTATCAATTGTGTAATTAAGAAAATAAAAACCATCGAATGACGTTATATTAATTTCATTATTTATAGAGATAAATAATATAGATATTTATAATTATAATAGAGATTATTCTTTTGTGTTTAATTAACAATAATAAAAGTGCACTTTTCTTGGAAATGTTTTTCTTCTTGCGACACGAGGAAGATACTTTTTGAGTTTCAATCATAATTTTTCTTTATACGTGGGTAACACTAAAAATGTTTCGAACTGGCCAGTTAGAAACATTGCTAATGAAAACTTTTTAGAATTTCAATTTTAGAACTCTTTGGTAATCTAATGTAGTATATTGCATCCATTTGTCATTTGTTTTTGTAAATTGGCGGCAAATCATATCTATCTCTTGTTACACGTGAAAATGAACCTAACACAAGAAAATTTTCGGTCAATGATTTATTATGACTTTCGTTGTGTGCTTACTCAACAACAAAGCTAGGCTGCGATTAGCATTTCTTAATGTAGCCCCATCTCGTGCCACTATTTACAATTGGTTTTACGAGTTTAAGCGTGGACGTAGTTTCTCTGTGTATGTCTCCAACACAGGTAAGAACGACCAGCGACAATAGTAGGTATCGTGCAGGTAACAAGTGCTATAGGTGTGTACGACAGGGTATGCCTTAAAGTTCATTTTTTATTTAAATTGCCGCTCGCACCAACAGCGGACTCTCATTGTGTCTGGAAAGATCTAAAAACTATTAAAACTGTCCGGCTATTGCGGTAATATTTTTATAGGGCACCAAGTAACATATTATAAAATTCAGCTTTTATAAAATTACGAAAAACTGGCCGTCGTTAACCCAAGAGACCACTGAACGCGAGTGCGAGAGTGTTCCCTCGCTGTAGCTCAAATTTCGCGCTTCCTCACATTCTTGTTAATTGCTGTATTTTTTTCGCTATTGGGCTGCAGGGACTTGACAGCTCAGCGCGGACTTAATGCAGTAGCATAGTAACGCATATTATTTTATCATGCCGTAGTAGAGTTACACTTTGTGTACCGCTTTTATCGAATTAAATCATATAGTACCAATCATTTGGAATTCAAAAGCAAGATCAGATAAGCAAAGCTACCAAAATAAAATATTATAAAAAAATATTAACGAAGACTTTTGAGAAAGGAAAAAGATTAAATTAAATACCGGCGTGACATGATATTTTGTGTGATATTATCGCCAGACAATTAAATATTGGTATATAAAGTAGCTAACTCAGACACTCCAATCACATCCATCTTGTAGTAGATGTAGCGACCAAGAGCAACTAAAAAAAACGAGAGTGGGTGGCATTCTCTTCTCCCATAGACTTGGCGCCAGGCGCCTTTCGAGAGTCTGGTGCCGGCATTAAATGCGCACACGGTCGAAGAGTGATTTTGTCTCAATCCCTTGGATTCGCGAATTTCTAGTACACGCTTTATCGAAATGTAACAATACATCGCACATTATTGTGCCTTATACATAAACAAATGACTTATTTTCTATTCAGTTATTTTGACTTTTAGTGTATTGTAGTTTATTTAATAAAAAGCGGTGCTACAACCTTTACTGTTTGGGTCTGTTAGTGTATTTAACCCTTGATATATTTGTATCCTAAACAATTAATTTACACCCGCGACATTCAGTCGTAGTTTTAAAAGTTTACGAAAATAACTTTTTTTAATGATAATATTGTCAAAACCATCATAATATGTCTATTACTTGAGATAGTAAGGTAGAAAGAAAAAGCTTTAAATTTAATGTCATATATTTCAAAATTCATATGGTGGCTTTTTCCAAATATTTCAAAATTCATATATGGTCTATTTTTGAGAACAATATTAACGTTGAGCAACTTCAGGTATCGAATCAAAACCTTTAAAACGCTGTAATAAGGAAGAAAAATTCGGAAATATTCGATCTTTACGCACTATGTAACATTCAAAGAAAATAGAAACATACTTTAAGATTTAATGGAATCAGGTTCCGATGCATTATGTTTTTAATGGAGCTGCAGATAAAGTAAAAATGGTGTTTATTTCTGTAAATGTCTAAATGACTAGATAAGGACAACATACAGCATTTAATCTTACAAAAAAATTTTAGGTCGGGGGGTTTCCAACCGCGGTTGTAATTTTTTTTCTTAAAGAGACACCGGCCCCGCCATCTTGGGTGGTGTTTTTTTTTTTTTTTTTTTTTTGCTCCTTTAGTATTTTGTCTACTTACAGCAAATATGCTTTCCTACGTCGAATGTCTATAAAAATCTAAGTTGAGCTCAGGTATATCTTCGATCTTAGCCCTAAACCTTCAAAAAAAAATATTCTAGACAATAACACAGCTAACGCATGAATGAGCAGATAAAGGGGGTTTTTATTCTGTAAAAAAAACCTGAAAAAGGGACAACCCCCCCCAATTCCCGCCAAAAGAAATTTGGGGTTTCGACAAAAAAAAAAAAAACTTGTGAACAGTTGCATACAAATTTAAATAGCGGATCGCGCCTACGAAATATCTAAGATCCAGTCATACAAGATTCGTCTGGTGTAACACTAAGGGTCTGGTTCACAATGTACGGATAAGTTCTACATAAGTTCCAAATTAGCTATTTATTACTTATTGGTAGGATAAACTCTATTGTTGCGTTTCACGACTGTCAGATAGCGCTATTCGTCACATAAAGTCCAACATAAGTTATGAGTCCGGTGAATGTCAAATAGCACAATTTATCTTCCAAATAATTTATGTTTTGCATAGCTATTTGGTACTTTATCCATACATTGAGATAGAGACCCTAAACATTTTTTTTTATTATGGGTTATTGATATTTTATGTACAGCTATAGGCTTAAACAGATTTATAGATTTATCAGGGTTTAAGCAGATTTTGCATTGCTAATTCATTATCTATTTCGTATAAACATAACAAATCTTTATAAGAATAACTTTGGTCACATTTTCACTTTATAATTTTCTCATAAAAGATACAAAAACCAACCATTAGTAACGATGATGAAACCTTTTTTATAAATGAAAATAATTCAATTGCTACTTACAATAGACAAAAATACTTTTCGAAAATCATACTATAACGATATATGAGAGTATGAGAATGACACTTTATCACGTGACCATTGTCATAGAAATTTCGTCAGGCGTTAGTGGGTCACGCCTGTCGAAAAGTGATTTTGTCTCAAGCCTATGGATACTTTTAATATGTATATTAAAATGCAAACGCCGTACTGGTTTGACTTTAATGGATACTTAAATAGATTGAATTTTTGATAACGCGAGAAGGTTTTTGTACTTTTTCTTTCCGTGATTGGCATTTCAGAGTCACAGCCTGAGCTGATGGTGACCCAAGAAAAGTTGTACAACAGGTATGACCCAATGTCATTAAATAATAATGTATGGGTAAGTTTTTAGATGACCACCATATAAATTCCAATGGCGAATCACGCTTGAAGCTAAAACATTTGTCTAGGGCCCATTTACAGCCAGATAAGCTTAAAGCATTAGTATAATGTAGCATGTCATGAAATTCGCTCAAACACTTATTTAACAATGATTTCATATCACATCTTAATAATAATAAAGGCACAATAATTCATTTGTTATCCAGTCTTCAACAATCACGATACTCCGAATATTGGTCCAAAAATCACAAATATAAAAAATGTATGGAATTCACCTTAACGAATATATTAGCAAATATATTTTGTACATAATTTTATTGTCTTTTACAAATACACATCGCTGCCTGTTTAGTCTTATCTATTGGTCATTTAATAAAATTAGGTACAAATAAATCACATAACTATATTCTCTAAACTACAAATGCTTCGTTATATATTAATGATCTTAGAAAACTACAAGAATCGTACTATCTCCATAAGTACTGAGAAATTAAAAAGAGTATCCTAGAACTAATTTTATAACCAACACTCGTCTAACTACAATTTAATATCCCCTAATTATGGCAATACTACTAACCAAGACAGTATTCAAAATATTAACAACACTAGCCGAACACAAAATTCTTAAATCAAGAAGACGTTCATAAATATTATAACAATGAAATATACATTTATTGTGTAACAGAGCAGGCACTATTTCGTTTTGCAAATACCAAAGGAACAAATTAAAGATCGAAATTGTTTTTAGAAGACGCCACTAGATGGCGTTGAAATTAATTGGCGGAGATTGTAGATGTGTACATGTATTTCAAATCAAGCGTGTTGTAGTTAACGCGTTTTTATTCCAGGTCTTGGTTAGTAGAGCTATTTCTAATTCAGGAGTCCTTAGCAAAACCATAGGAGTTCCAGTTATGTATATGCGGTAATATTTCGTTGATGACCGGGTACCATTCAGCCCCAGAGTAGTTGATAGCTGGCAGATCGCCGCCGTAATCGGCAGGTAAGTGAGATGGTTCCATTTGCTTGTGGAGCGAAGACATCTTTGAGCCGTGGAAATATATCTGAAAATACGTCACACGTGTTACAATATAGTAACTTGTTAAAATATAGTAAATGATATTTGTAGACTATCCTGAGTCTTATTTATAAAAACTTATTCGGTAAAGAAAATTTTTTTGCAAATTTGTTAAAAAACGTTTCAAAATTATTTTATTTAAAATTACTATTGAAATATTAATATTAAAATCTATATTGTTTTTGTTTTCTACGTATTATTTTTGGCTACGTAACTACCGCCATCTGTTAGTAATTACAAATAATTACATAACGACAACAAACTGCAAATCGCAATACGGCGGAGGACATTTAATATTCTAACACTAAAAAACAGATGGCGCTAAAACATATTAACTGTGATTTGAAAAATATATTTTTCTATTCTTGTGATATCTTTTACTGTTTATGCTACAGAATAAATACGCCGTATATTTTATTTAAGATTTACAACGTTGTATAAATAGCTAAATTATAACTGGCCAGCCTTTTATCAATAAAACAACCAAAGCCAATTAAATAAAGACAAAGTGGCACGGAAACCATCTTTTTAGATCTATTTGTGGATATAAATCTCACTCACCCTATTCTTTAGTTTTTCTCTGATGAAGGGTTTGAACATCTTCCATACGGCACTAAAGAGCAATGGTTCCTTGACAAAGTGGACTTCCTTCAACCTCAAAGGCATCGCATCCTGAATGAAAGTCAGGAGACGTTTTGAGAAGCTTGGTGTAAGTCCCCACGTCTGGAAATCAAACGATAATTTATTAGTAGGTACAAATAAAAGTTCTCCATACCAAATTGGGCACAAATAGACTCTATAAAGATTATCTTCGAAGAGATACATTTGCATTTTCTATTAATCTCTACTCCCTAAATAACTCTCTACCTTAGGGTAAGATTCCAAGTCAATGCGCTTATGATTTCCATATATCAAATGCACAATTTTGAAGTACTTAGAGCAGTCTGGAGTTTAGCCTCAGTTCGGTATGAAGCAAAATGCAAATACATCTAATTCATAGATATTATTTAGCAATTAGCAATCAAGTTATGCCTCCCTAACTAGCAGTTTCCTAACTAGCGAACATAGTAGTAAGCATTTAAATATACTAAGCGAGCTACACACATACTGTTCATTAAACTTAACTTAAGTCGCAACGAACATACATAAATTTATAATTATTAATCTAATATTGGATAATATGCAATTATGAGTAAGGGGTATGCCGGAAAAATTCTGTAAATTTCCATCGAAGGTTGATGCAATGACAAGTGGTATGTTTTGAATATACTTTCAATTCTTGACTGATAAACTTTATCACCCACATTACTAGTGCATGCCATTTCAGATAACAACCGGACACGATATTTAATTGAAACTTTTATTTATTTATTAATGTTAATAAATTATTAAAATTGTTGTATTGCGATATACAGCGAGGATATGCTGTCAGCATTAAGAGTACCTACACAGGACTAAACTTTATTTAGTTTCTCTATTAATGATTCTCTAAGTTGTTTAACTATCCTAATTCTAAAATCATTGTACAAAGACGTTTTACTTTTATTAATATATTACATTATAATGGAGATTAGAATAAAAAAATATCCAATACCATAATTGCCTATTTTTATTAAAACATTTAATAGTTATAATTTATTATCAAGCGGATGATACTAACAACTAATACACGGGAATAAAACAAATTATTCGCATTCATAAAAACAATATTGTTTGTATTGTGTTTCAAAAAGTATTTTAAAAATACAGTTTTATAGATTACAACGGTATTCACAACCAGGCTTATATGATTAAGCTTGCACCGATTTATATAATTCTGATAATAATTATATAAAAAATATATAAAAGTAAATACACATCCTTTTTACTATTACTATGTGAGTTTCGAATATCAGTGGAAAAAACTTTTACTGACAAAGTATTAAATTTGTCTCTAATTTAATATTCTGGTTGAAATTTAAGTGAGCGAACGTGCTTATCGCTGTCCTTACTTTTGCAAGGAAAACCCACTTCCTTACAATGAACGGATGTTTGAAAACAATATTGATCTATTATTTTAGATATGTTTAAAACAAGGTTGTTTGTTGAGTCTTAAACGTTTTAGTTTAGATAAGAATTCCAGGTTAGTGTAAATAAAAAATAAAAATGCACGTTAAATTGAAAGCCTTGTTGCTTTTTCAGTATATACAAAAAAATATTGCCATAAAATAATCCAGCTACTTTTACACATCATCAAAAATAATAATATATATGTACGACTTATAGGAATTACTATTCAAAGTAAAATCACTTTTGAACGTCAAACAAAATACAAAGAAGATTCTAGTTGCCCCTTCCAAAAGGTAGTTTCGTGTGGAGAAGAATCGGCAAGAAACTCCACACTTACTCTTTTTAAAATAGGTTTACAATATTTTGTATACATTAGTTAAATAATTATATGTGAAAACAATGTACTCTTAGAATAAACTACTATACTAAAAAAGTTAGTATACATGTTCCTCACATATTGGGCATAAAACCTGTAACAACCCGTAATACGGCAAAAAGTTCATGAGAAATTATGATTGTTATGAAAAGTGACGTTTTTTTGTCAAAATTTTATTAAAAAATGTACCTATAGAAACTCGACATCATATCAAGCATTTTGCTTGATATGATGTTTTTGAAAAAAAAAATACAATCTTTTTTATTACTGTTACATCCAAGTCTTAAAAGATAACGCATGAATGTGTTTCTATTTATTACCTATAGATTGCCGCTTATTTTCTTTATAAATACATTGATTCCTTTAGCTATATTGAAATGTTAAATCACCGACGACACGCGAAGAATACACAAAGGCAGCCTCGGACGTGAGGTCCTTTAAATTATAATTTTTCTTTCCGGTTTAACGACACGGAAATTCTTATTTCCCTTTGAAACACTTGGATATGGTTTGTACAGTTGTGAAATATCCGTAAAGGAGTGTATAATTAACAAAGAGGTTAATTTTATTCCTTTATACACAATAAATTTCTTTATCCACAGTTCGTCATCCTTGACAAAGAAATTCATTATTAAAAATCTACGTTGCTTTGTGAGTCACGCTTTTGACAATGCATGTGTAAAGTACAATAATTATTGTAGGGAAAACAAAGGTTGCCGTATGAAATTCAGCAATAAAACAATATTCGTGTTATATTTAATCACAATTGGGGATAGTTTTATAATTGTTTTTATAAATATTTAATTTAAAATACTGTTTATGTGTACAAATAATTTGACTATGTAATTTATGTATATGGTCTTTATTTCATCGTTTAACACTCGCTCGTATGGAGAAGGAAAACATCGTGAGAAAACCGGCCCATGGCGCAAGATGCTACGGCGTGTGCCAGACACAGACAAGAAAAAAGCCTACCAATTCATAAAAGACCGGCCACTCGAGAGCCCTATGGGATTAAGTGTCACTTAGCATCAGGTGAAATTCCTATCACTTGTTCTATTTCCAAAAATACTTATAAATTTTTTTAAGTCTATTAAGAAAATATATGTAGCAATAGATTAAATGAGGTCGAGACCAAGTGTTCCAGAGATGTTTTTTTTTAAATTCATATGGAACAAAAGATGTGTTAACAGGTATATCATTAGAATGTACCTACATATATCTATATACAATATTCCAACATACCTCACGCATTCAAGCTTAAAAAATAACAACATAAAGCAATCCAAATAAATAAACGTGTAAAAATATACATATAATATATAAAAATATATTCTTAACCTATTAGTTATAATAATAATAATAAAAATAATAATTAAACATTTATAAATAGAAAATTAAAACAAATTGAAAAGTTTGGTCCCTGTGGCAGTGTACCAAGACTATACATTATAGTATTATTTATTTTATTGAACATTACAATTTTTTCTTTAATTTCTCGACGTTTATCAAGTTTGCTTATTATTAATTATTGTCTCATATTCATAAACAGGATTTAAGATAAAGGAAACCTTGATTTATCAAAGTTACGAATTGATTAGACAATTATTGATTTACCGATAAACAATGAACGTCGGTTAACGAATTTGTGATTATTTTGTAATAATATTTTTAGCTGATAAGTCTCACGATTTACATTGATGTACAGGACAAACGGGAAGAAGGCTTACCTGATGTTAAGTGATACACATGGACAATCGAATCTTTTGTATCTTTGTTCGGAATTGGTTCGGAAATACTTCGGAAATGTTCAAAGTATTTTATTATAAAAATAAAACTGACTAATAAACTTTCATATATTTGTAAATGAAGAAATTTTTACGAAACATTTCTTAACAATATAAAGAAATTAAATTTTATGAAGATAAAAACACTATTGCTCCCATGCCAGGGACCAGTGGTAATGTCTAAGACGATAATTGATTAAGTATCGTTATAGAGTTAAGTATTTACGTATAATTTTCTTTACTACCAGACTTAGATACTTTATCTAATGAAACTTTATCAAGACGAATTAATGACAAGATGTCATGACGAAGTACAAGGTGACCTCACAATTTTTCCTTAACCTGCATTGGTATTCTGTCCAGCTAAAAACTTGATCAAACGTTTCATGGAAAACTCATTACTGGAGCATTCATTCCATTTTCGGTCTTGGAGTGAGGTCGGTTTATGATTTATATTTCTTTGTCATACAAATTTTTATAGTAGCCAATTAGACGAACCTTTAAACGCGAAGCAAGAATAGTTCCCCAGATAACCCAGAATTTATAGGCTAAGTAAACCAACTAAACCACAGTAACATTTCTTTAAAATACCACAAGTAACTTACTTACTTTTTCACGTAAATGGGTCAAAAGATCTCATTTCGAAATATCCATAAATTTTTATCTCAAGTCACAAGTCACGATGTCCATATAACTTAAATTGAATCATTTTGTTTCAAATCACGTATACGTAGTCGGGTCATTATTGTAACAATTTGTTACTTTACTTTGATGTGAAGTAGGTAATCTTTTATGGATATTTTCAGAGGTTTTTTGGAATTTTTATCGTATTTTACAATCAAAGAACATTTTACGTATAAAGTGACGAATACTTTGGTTTTAAAAAACAAGAAATACTATTAGTATTAACGATCAAAATTATTTTTGGTTGGTTTAAAAATGTCTTTAAAATTAAAATGATCTTTTTAAATATTAGATACAAACCCGTTGCCTCCGTAACATTATGTTTTAAATGTACTATTAACGTGGTAATAAAAATTAATAACGTTAATTATATGATCACCTTTCAACTTCACTCAAGGAAAAGAAAAATATTTTTTTTTATATTACTTTTGACGCAAACGCATTTCATTACCTGCTATACATAAAACGCCCAACTATATTCGAAAGTTATATAATGCCAAATATTACATAAGTAAGGCACAGTTACAATGATTAATTGCAAAGATCTCGTAATATGATATTTTGAAACTAGATACTAAATTGCTTAATAATCACTTAATCCAATTTTTGATTACTGTATAATTTTATATGAAACGTGTATTTATTATTCTTAAGAAAAGTGTTTTAATAAATGAATAATGTTTGAGTATTTTTTTATTTTATTTACATTACCTTATACAAAAACATACACATAAACAAGCAGGTTACATAATTTATTAGGCGATTTCTTCCAGGCAACCCTAATATGGAACAATACAAAAAGTAACACCTACAGAGGGTAAAGTACAAGAAGTGCATAAATAATTAACAAAAACTCAAACTCAAAATAACATATAACACTACCTATAACTAAAATAAAGTAAAATCTAAACAAAAAACAAATAAATAAACAATAATATGTTTAACTAGACCATCTATGCAGTTATTGTATTTACTCGTCTATTAAATTAAACAAATGATCACAACTCCGAGTCCCCAAGAGTTCTAGCACCACCGGTTTTCTTTATGGTACGAGAAAATATCAGAAAACGTAATTATTTAAGTATAATAAAGAGACTACACAAGAAGGAATGGCGCCACAAATCATCAGGTCAAAAATGTATTTGATTTTGACTTACAGGAGTACGCGCTAACTCTCGTTTCTGATCTCACCCTAAGTCCCTATTCGCTTAGGTCCTTCTCTATCCTCCTTTAAATATCGACTGTACAAGCACTACCTGTCCACATCGTATCCCTAACTATCGTACTAACAAAGCTGAAATTATGTGCACTTTTTCTTTTTTATGTGTCCTTTTTTAATATTGACCTGTTCACTGTTCACTTGTACATATGTTTTGATTGCTTTGTTTTGTTTCATTATCTTTGTCTAAATAATGATGTCTTATGTGTTTTTGCACTTCTTTCTTACTTTATCTAATGTTTTTTTCTCACAGTAGTTGCCTGGAAGTGATCGCTCGAAAGTGATATGGATAAGTTGCCCTCCATTTTATTTAATTAGGTATGTCAATTGTATTATATTTCTGTACATGCAACGAAGTGTTTTGTGCCTTAGACTAGTTTCCTGACTATAGGTTTAGAGTAAAGTAATTATCACATATAAAAATCTATAGCTGGGTTTCGAATACAGGGCCTCAGAGTTGTGCGCGCCTAGTCACAGGTAAAAATAGTTAGACTATGAAAAAGTTATTTACCTAAACAAAGGAATATTTACAAGAACAACATTGTATACTCAATGTTTTACCCATACAATAGTATTTACTGAAACAATATATAATCGCTAATGACCAGACAACACGTGTATTGTCTATATTTAGTACATTGATGAATACGTCTTCACATAAGGCCATGCCAAAAGCAGTAGACACGTCAGAATACATATATTATATAGAAGGCGTCTCTATCATTGAAATAGATTCATTAATGGCCCGAATGATATGAACTTATAATAGGTACTTAGATGTGTTCGTCTTATTTAGAATCGTACCTGTTATGCCTGCGACTCAGGTAAATTCGGAAAAGTGTCAAGCCTAGAAGAAATATAACCTCTATCTAGAACAGTGTTTCCCAACGTGGGGACCACGCCCGATAGGGGGGGGGAGTAATTTGATTGTTTAGGGGCAATTAAAAAAAATATTTGGAATTTGAATTTCAAGTTGTTATGTTTTGAAATTTTACTGATACCGGCAAACATCTTGAACAAATGTCCTTGATCGCAGAAGCGATTTGAGGTATCACTGAGAGGGGGCGGCGGGAGAGTGACGTGTCGATCGCGTGATTGGTGAATCAGTTGACGTTTGTGTCCCCCGCAAACTTTCCCCCACTCCCTTGTTTAGTGTTCAAGATGTTTACCGGTATCTGTACTTACTGTGTTTCGTTAATAATTTCCTAGCGATTTCTTCTATAACCTATCATTGAGGTTTCTAATTTTTTTAATATAAAAAAAATATTTTTGTCATAAGGGTGCAATGGAGTTTTAGAAAGACATAGGTGGGCATGGTACCGATCTAGACCTTATCGTGCCTTAGTATTTATATGAGGTTTCCACCAATAGTAGTCATTTATTCTAGCAGTAGCAGTTCAAAAGGCATATAAAGAAGATATTATTTTCGAAGGTGTCGTTTCCAACTTTCATCAGCTCCGTTAAAATACAGTGCATTGCTAAATACATGTGCAACGCAAACAATTGTTCGAACTGATTTGGACGTTAAGACATTGTTATAAAGTATAATATTAATTAACAAGTGTGTATTGGCAAACTTTAAGCAATGGAGTGACTTTCTTATATACGTAATTAAGAGTTTATTGACTTCGTTAAATACCTATCACTGTGATGACATTATTCGTTAAATAACGTTATAAAATCACCGAAAAAATATTCACTCCTTAATAATTTTAATAAAAAAAAGGCGCTGAATGTATAAGCCTATCATTACATTCATGGTCTTATTATTTAAGTTTTAATTCTTTATCTCTTTTTAACACAGCGTAAAAGGGTGGCGGAGAGTTTAATGCCACTTCTTCTCTTCCGTTCTACGCCCTTGATTTGAGCTGGCAGTAAATGTAAAATTAGAAACATGTAATTTGTTGACGATCATAAGTGTACATTGTGTTACCTATATGAATAAATGATTTTAGATTTTTTAACCACAATTTGTAAGAAAGACGTGTTCTCTCCTTAATATATTTCAATAAGATATTATGAGGCTTCTATCAACAGAGACTATGGATTGATTGGACTTGCAATTTTTTTAAGCACCGAACTTGTAAAACTGGAATAATTTGTATGTTTTTATCATAAAAAACGAGCGCATTTCAAAGCAATACGAATCAGCTGCTACCCGACACACCTAGATCTTTCCTATTTTTCAGGATGTTTACCTTCAATATACTGATTACATAGAAAAATTGTATAGCCGGGATTCAAAAGCACGATACACGCTATACTTTTTTATTATAAATAAATTGAAACTGTTTTCGCGTGACAAATTATGCTAATTTTATACATTATTTAATATTCTGCGCTTCACGTTTAGTGACGTATAAAGTGTAATAACAAGGTTGTATTCATAACAAATAATAGGCTAAGCCTACAAACAACTAACTAGAAATCGTATAAAATATGACTGTTTATCAAAGTTACACTTATTTTATTTTGTTTATGCTCTCAAACATAACATATTATGTTAAAAATTTAAATGAGGACAATTAAACACTAATGAAATTATGAACAATGGATTTAAAGAAATGTGGTGTAGCTTTTTGGAAAATAAAGAATCCTTTTTTAACTTTTGATTTTTATTGTTTAATTACTGCTTGTATTTAAATACCCTTATATGTATGTACCTTTGTTCGCATTAAAAATTATTATTATTTTATTATTGTAAATACAACAAGTCATTGAGTTTATGCTTGTAAGTGACATCAATGTAGTACAAATCCAAATAAATGTATCTTATACGTATGTCACTATGTATTTAGTGGCAGAAGGATTTTTAAATTTCTTCAAATAGCATTCATAAATTACTTCACCAAGTACCAAGTGTTAGCATTTAGCAAGTGTTTACAGGCATGAAAGTCTAAAGAAATTTTCCATTTATAATAAACCAATGTATATAACATATCCGTAAAGGATGGGACGGGCTTTAGTATGGAATGCTACTTGTGTGGACACGTAAGCCCCGTCTCATCTCCCCCGGACAAACACAAAAGCTAGCGCGGCCGCATAGCAGGCGGAAAATATAACTATATTGGATAATAAACTTTGATTTTGTTCTCTTTGGAGTAGAGAGAGACTGAGAGGCCGTGGAGTTCAAGTGCACTGGCGTTAATTAAAGTATTAGGTTGGCGCCTGGTAGATAGTACCGGTGACCCTAGAGCTGGTGCTTTCGGCGCACAACAAATAACTATAGTAATACAGCGAGGAAATGCTGCCAGCATTAAACTGCCACAGTGACCAAAATTTCTATACTTGTTTTAATTTTCTAATTATACATTTTTAATTATTATTATTACTGTGTAGGTTAAGAATTATTGGAAATTGTGTATATTTGTGTGTTGGAAATAAAAAAAAAACTTAAACAGCTTCATTTTAAAATACATACCTGAGTCCAGCCCATATTGTGGAAGTCCATGATGACGACGGTGCCTCGAACTTGAGTCTCTGGTTCTAACATCGCGGCTTCGTGGATTAAGTAAAACAGCCTGAAGAGCTGGTCCGCCGTCACCTTCTTCGGGTCCCAGGTGGCTATAAAATATTGATTTAAATTAATTTTCTTCGTTTATTTACACGATGCATATTAAAATATATGTGTGGCCTAAGCGAACCGTATCCCTGAGATCATGGGAAACACGGCTCCAATGGAATTTTCTTTCAATGTGCACAATTAGTCCTACGGTGAAGGAAAGCATTGTAAGGAAACTGGCTTTTCTCAAACCCAAAATTCAACATGTATCGGCTGATCACCTACTTGTTTATAAAATAAAAATGATGGAAGAAACGGATGCGGATCTGAGGACAGGACTCTTAAGGGTTGTAGCGCCTATGATTATTATGGTTGTTACACCTCGTGCTTAAACTATATCCATTAGTAATGTTGGTATACTACAAAATTAAAAATAAAATAAAAATATATCCATAAAAGTTTTCAATACCGTCAGGTAATACGTTATTCAAATGTCTTAATTGCTTGTTTAATATTAAAATAAACGATGTTTTGTACAAAGCAATAATTATAAACTTAACTAATTTTGTAAATGTTTTCTTAAGTTATTGTTGCTAAGTGTGGAATAATTATAAAACAATGGTAAATACAATTTAATAGTGCTGCATTAAGCCATCAAATTTATTGACACTTAAGAGTCTAATGTACATTATGTACAAAGTTCATTATTAGTTGATAGCGGTGATAATTCGTCATATGTTGTAACTATCAGCGCAACTCTGTAACTATCCTGACATTTTTGTTTACAATATTGATGTAATATCCGTAGCGCTAACGTCGTAATCTTGAAATCCCGATACTCAATCGCGATTGGAAGCTATAGAGTACCGGGGCACAGTTAATACATGTAGAAAATATAAACAGATTTTTTTATAAAACAGGGAGCCGGGCAGAAAGCTCACCTGACGTTAAGTGACGCCCATGGACACTCGCAATGCAAGAGGGCGAGTGCATTGCTGGCTTTTTAAGAATTGGTACTCTCTTTTGTTGAAGGAAACTCGAAATGGTACAGAAATACTTCAGTGGGTAGCTGGTTCCACATAGTGGTGGTGCGGCGTAAACTGTCTTAAGGATAGGGTGAGGTGGTGCACTGAGGCGCGCCGGCCCGTCATAACAATTAGTTACGTAAAACATTAAATTAATGTAATTTTTTTTTTTTCTGAAAATGATACTTGGCTGGATGAAATAACGGTATTAACGTTCTATAAAATTGCGTCATAAAATGAATTCAGGCTTTTTTTTTTTTTTTTTTCCCGGAAGTTATTTAATTTATGATCTCTACCATATTTTTTTCATTCGCTCTACTTCAAGAAACGATGACGAAAAATGGAATGAAACAATTTAATTTTTTGGATTTTGGCGATCAGATAGGTCCTTAAATAACGCTCAGTTGTGGAACGACGGACTTCGAGGTGATACGGGTAGTATTTCGTATTCTGCCTCGACGTCCGTTGATGAAAGTATAATATAAAGAGATTTATTTTGATGGACGCGTTATTTTAGGAGTTAAATATATAATTTACGTTTTATTTAAAGTCCAGATTTGTATTTTTTTATTCGTAAATAACTTTTGAGGTAATATTCAGAAACGAGCGCTAAGTCTGACTTCGATACGTCAATATTGAATTTTGACATATTGGAGTCACACTTCGCTGTCTCGTTTCGGAATCACCTAATTGATATTAGCATACAAAAACAATGCATGTAGCAATCCGGTTTTAAACGTTTTATTTAAAAGAACTACTGTTAATTGGTAACATCACTAATATAAAGCTAGCCTGCCCCTCTAGATAAGTGTCACACGCTCCACATATTCTATTTCGTTAAACGGTGAGTTGTCAAACGCTCAGTCGATTCAATTGTACGATGGAATTCGAACTTTGTCTCTGGTTTTGTTAGCAAACGTCATTATTTTTAATTTGACAGTAAATTTAAAATATATAATTATTTTGGTTTGATAGTGTAGTTTCAAGAATATTATATATTTTATAAAATTTCCATTGATTAAGTAAATATTCCGCTTGACAATTTGCTGTTTTGTTACGCATTTCGCACGCTTGTACTTTTATATGTAATATTGTGGAAGTAAATATCGCCTATGTAATTTAATGTAGTATTCTGATGGTATACTATACTAGTATAGATTGTGTAAAACTGGTATACGAATCATGGTCACGAACACGGCTTTTAAATTTTTCTAAGAAATTCAAAGAGCGAAGTTGGCGTCCCTGCCTTAGATAGGAGGAATTTGCGCTTGACCTTACGACAGAGCTCTTGTCGGACCCATCAAAAGGGAATAGAGAGTGCACACACACTTGTGCACTATATCTCTTAAATAACCAGTCATTGGGAGACGCAGTGCCTAATCAGTATGGAGATCTACTTTATAACATTTTATTGATAAAGCGTTTTACCCTAAGTAAAAGGTGTGACAATTACGTAATTAAATATGGGTCTTATGATTATGATTATGTCTACAGACATATAATAATAGTCTATATATATATATATATATATATATATATATATAGTGTTTGAATCTCAACTGTTCCAATCAAATAATCTTTCTACTAAATTTACGCTTACTGTTACGATGACGTTGTCACGCACAGAAGGCGAATATAGACAAGAAGTTGTTGTCTATGAAAATTGAAGTGACCGAAAGAAACGGATGCAATTAAGATAGAGTTGTAGCAAATGGATTATTATTTATACTTATGTGGACGATAACATCATTCATTAACTTACCTCCAACATTGACAACTAGAACTCTTCTTCCTTTGTGGTCACGTCCCTTCAGCACGTTCACAACTTTGTGTTCTAAGAATGATTGAATTTCGTGTTCAGGTAATAACCCGTCCAGTAGAGAAGCATTTTCTTTTCTAAATTCAGCTACACGCCGCATCTAAAACAAGTATTTTTTTAACAAAATGCCTTAAATTTCCTTTTGTTTTGTATACTCTTTTTTTTTTAATATCTAAAGGTCGTATTTCCTTGGGAAGAACAAGGGTACTGGTTGATGATTCTAAAATTTGTTAATTCGCAAAAGTAAAGCGAACTAAGAAGTAATATATCTGTAGTTAGATAGCTCATTTTTAAACCGTAAATAGATCGGCATATATCATACTTTATATTTGCTAATATAGTATAAGAGGAAATTGCAACATTTTTATCTTAAGTATTAAATTCATGTTAACAAACACGATCATTATCAAAATTATACCTTGTTATATCCACCGGTTACTGTCGTAACTAGATATAATTTACTAAAGTTGGGCATTTAAGAAATCATCTAGGTCCCAGAGCTGTACTGTAATTTCTATGAATTTATATGTACGAGATTTTTATCCGCGTTTTTAACGTCTAAAACTCGTCTTAAACATTACAATTAGATCTTTCATATACGTTTTGTTGGACAAAATGCTTATATTAATACGACGTGAATGGTCCCAACCAATATATCTTAAAGACTTTGTGTATGACAATAGGAATGTCAGGACAGAAAGCGGCGAAATTGTAAATGTACAAAATTCGACTAAATGCTGTTCCAAACTTATCCTCTTATTTATAAAAACTTAATTAGTCAGTTGCATTATTTTAAAGCAATGTTTTATCTCTTTCTCTCAAATATTTGTATGTTTTATTAAATCTAAAAATAACTATCAAATATATATTATATACAATTTTATCAACCTACATAGTACTAATAACAATTAATAAAAAGAAAATTAAAACAAATTTAAAAAGTTTGTTCCCTGTGGCAGTATACCTTTAACGCTGGCAGCATTTCCTCTGCATTGCGATACTCGCAAATTGTATTTACGATTCGATGAAAAGATACTGATCAGTACTTTAGTCAAATCATTAAACGAACTTAAAATGAATTAAGCTACTTTTAGAAAATATAAAGTATAGTACAGATTGGCCATCAGTATCTTAAATAACGACATATTATATGTTATTGTACACTCGCAATTCAATCTTGTTATCATAATAATCTTCAGTTTACATTCATTTGCAAAACATTATGCCCCTCATTTCCTTGTTAGTTTCATCATAAAAAAACAATCGTAACTCAATAGTTTTATTGTTAGAGAATAAAAATGAGTTGCGTACTTTGAAATATACGTTCAATTTATTAAAGAACGTCATAGACAAAACAGAAATGTCAAAAACTAATTTTGTTAGAACGGGACTCGACTGGGACGATAATGGACGCTCCATATTGTAGCTAAATAAAACCCATCCTCAGTGATCATTATTTTTATGATTATTTAATCGAACCTTTGGAATATACGTCATCTGCATTAACCAGTTAACAGAGTCAGTGAGAATAATTGAAGAGATAATAAACTATTACAATGTACTAAAATAACTTCAAAAAGGGTGCGTGTACTTATGTACGCGCGTAAGAAGTTATACTTCTTTGGCATTATTAAAAATAGTTTTTGATTGCATGCAAATAATTAATTACAATTAAATAATCAAAGACTGGAAAAGGAGTCATTATAGTCAATAAAGTTCAGTTTACATTTGAAAAATTTAATAAATAGATATTTATTATTATTCTCTTACATTAAGTGTAACAAATAAATTCTATTATTATTCGAATGTTGATTTTAAATTAAGTCCAATGCCGTAGCAGCTTCATGGTCAACGTCATTCTGTTAATTTTGTGTCACGGTGCGCGCGCATCGTAAAATTTCACTCTCATCAATTTTTCATAACGCGCCTAAAGAAGTATAACTACAAAAATCGATCCTTTCAGTTGCTTTTCAAATTTTCACCTACCTATTAAATAGTACAGCTCTAACAACCGTTTAGTGTTTGTAGTATACCATATAAAATAACTAGCTATAGGTACATTCTTGCAACAAAGTATTTGGTTTATCACAATTGTTTCAATAAGGTACAGTTTCAGTTTTAATCAGACGAACAACACGTATTTGTTTACAAGGTTAATGATTAGTTTCATACGTACGATGCGCAATTCATGCTTGTAATTTATAATTTTCAATTCGAAATTTAAAACAGTATGACGTTGAGGTTTCAAAAATGATTTCTTTAACATAAAAACTGAAATTCTTGTCAATGTTATATGTAATAACTATGCTAGTATTTAAATACATTTGCTATGTATAGTCTATGTTTTACTGAGTAGTTCGATCTAGGCGTCAATGACAAATTTCTCCTATGTTTAATCGACTTCAAAACAAGGTAGGAGATGTCCATTTCGTTGTTTTTTACAAAGAGACGCCCCAAATGTTATAATTACAGTGAATTCGTATGATAATCTTTATAAAGATAATGTGAGACCGGCATTAATTGATTTTGGAGGATGGGACGAGTTTTGGTATGGGATGCTACTTGTGTGGACAAGTTCACCTCCGTCGGACAAGCACATAAGCTGGCGTAGCCGCAGAACAGGCGGAAAATAAAAACGACTCTAATATAAGAGAACTTTGATTTCGTTCCCTTTGGAGTAGAGGCTCTTGGGCCGTGGGGTTCAAGTGCATTGGTGCTAATTAAAGACTTAAGTTGGCACCTGGTAGATAGTACGTGGTGGTACTCGTAGTAGAGCTGGTGCTTTCCTCGCTTGACGAATAAGTATCGCAATACTGAATACAGCGAGGAAATACTGCCAGCGGTATAGGGACTAAACCTTATAAATTCGGTTTACTTTTAAATTGTTATTATTATTACTATGTAGGTTAAGAATATTGTAAATACTGTATATTTGAGTGTTTGAAATAAATATAATTGTTTTTTGCAATGCAAAATAACCGTAAATATGTTTTTATCGTGAAACATTTTTGAATTCGACCCGAACCTTATCGCATTGAATAACACGTTAGGTCAAGCATTTTGCTTAACAACAACGCAATACAATGGACAGTACTACATAATAAAGAGTATTGTATCAAAAAGACTGGCTTAATTGTGTTAGCTATTGCTCAAACAATCACCGTCTGATTGCAAGAAGTCAACACGTACTCTTCAACTGGGCTTACACAACCTCTATTAAATATAATTACAGGTCGCTTATATCTAGAACGCCAAACTACTTTTGAGATCAGTAAAACCTTCATGTCGATAGTATTATGCTGATCTGTGGAACACAAATATAACGCTTTTTTTATATTAGCAAAGAAAAGCTCTTCTAATTCAAGTCTCTTTAAATATTAAATAACTTAGCATATCAGTTATTCGCAGAAAATGTCTTTAAATATTTTAAAACAGTAATATTTAGCAGTGACGGCGTAGCCTCTCATTCCTGAGGTTGTAGGTTCGGACCCCGGCTGTGCACCAATGTACTTACTGTATGCGCATTTAACACGCGTTCTTACGGTGTGTAACATTGTGAGGAAACGGGCATGCCAAGCATGCTAGCCCCTTAAAAAAATTTCGACGGTGTGTGTCGGTCACAGAAGACTGAATACATGCCTATTATAAAAACAAATATCACATAAGAGAAACATAAATTTGATGCCCAGGCCGAAACATCCACCACACACCAGACGTCAACCAGTGACCATCATTCATTCAATCAAGCAATAAAGGATTAATATATTTGGCTTGCAATTGTGGAAACTATGTGATATGAAACTTATATATAGAGTCTTTGTTAATATTAAATTTCATTAAAGTCGATACAGACATATGTGAACACAAAGTTACGCACAAAACATAATTTTAAATGTTTTCGTGTACAAGTTCAAACACTAGAACAATATACATATAATCTTTGTTCGCGTTTTATCGAGATAAATAAAAACAAAGGAGTATTTGCTTTTAAAAAATATTTGCAATCGGTTTTATCATTGTATGATTTCGAAAGATTTATCCTCATCACATTCCCTGCTTTCATTATAAAAGAGTTCGTGATTTTTATCAATTTCGTTTCGGCTATAATATACAGTCAAAACCGGTTATAACGACATTGAAGGGACCGTGTAGTTGCCGCCGTTTTATCCCCGAGGGGCTTTAAACAAAATGCCGTGCCCCCCCCCGGCCCCTTTGTTTGTCCCGTTTTTTTTTTCCTGGGGGGGGGGGGGGGGGGGGGGTTTGGGGGGGGTTTTTTTTTTTTTTTTCCCCCCCCCCCAAAAACCCCAATTTCCCAAAAAATTTGGGGGAAAAAAAACCCCCCCCCCCGGTTTTTTTTTTCCCCCCCCCCCCCCCCTTTCCCTTTCCCCTTCCCCCCCCCCCCCCCTGGGGCCCCCCCCCCCCCCCCCCCCCCTTCCCCCCCCCCCCCCCCGCCCCCCCGGCGGGGGGGGGGGGGGGGGGGGGGGGGGGGGGCCCCTTTTATTTAGTAAAGGATAGATTTTGTCTAACGTAACGTATGATTCTGGGCTGTTCCGTTAGCCATTTAGGACTGGCTGCTACCGACGATAAACAAGTGTCCGTCTGCGAAGCGAACCCAGGAGCTCCAAATACACATGTGGGTTAACCACTAACCCTCGGAGTCGGGTGTAAAATTACGTAGTCAAAATTAGTCCGGTAGACGCGTATTCCAATCATGTTTTACGACGTGTATAAAATACAGCCATTAATCTATGTTATGTTGCAATATATGCAGGCAAATAAACTTATAAGTGCTAATTGTAAAGGTTAAAACATATTAAACCTTGACACAGACTAACACAACACTATTATTTTTTGTCGATTTGAGGTGATTTATCGCGAGGCGAGGAACAAATCATCGCATATTGTTCGATATTTAAAATGTTCTGTAAAGATTGAGTTTTTTAACACTTTTATAGGCCAGATTTTATAGGCTAAGGCGTTCGCGTGTTTGGTTCTCAACCAATAGCTGCTTTGAGATGATGAAAGCACGGAAGGCCGGTAACCTGTTTGCACAATATATATTTTAATATAAACAATACGCATTACAGAAATAAAATACTGCGGATTGCTGTAAATTAACTTCGGGATGGTTTAATTTAAAAATAATTGTTGCTAAAAGCAGTAAACCTTTTAAATGTGTTATACTCGTACAAAGTTAATAATTTTTGCTATTCTCTTTTCTCACGTAATATACCCTATACTTATAATATAACTTATCGTTTAACGAACAAAGCCAATAGTATATTTCATTACAAGTGCGGTAAGCCTGTCATTGCAAAGAGTTTCGACAAATGTCTACCCGGGCCGAGGCGCAGCCGAAGGTGAGGGTTGACAGTCGGAACAAGTTGCAATGACGGTTCCGCACGTGTACTAAACAACTATTTTTAATACAGTTGCGAAAAAAATTATGCAATTTAATAAAATAATAAAAAAACAATAAACTGAACTCACACACTATTCTTATACAAATTATTTTTCACAGTTTTTGACAGTTTTTTATACTAACTGGAGAAGTTTTAGGTTGCATAATTTACTGATATGAAATGAAATTTAATCCTACTCGTATTGAATCATAATCATTAAATATGATATTGAAACAACTAAACGCGCAAAGAATATTTTTGGAAACCCCCCAAAAAAAAAATTTTTTTTTTTTCCCCCCCCCTCCCGGGGGGGCAATGCCCCCCCCCCCCCCCCCCCCCTTAGTCAATTTTTTACTGATAGAAATGAAATTTTGAGGAAATGATTATAGCTCATTGAATCATCATTAAATATGAATTGAAACAAAGCAGTAGCTTCTTTTTAGAAATATTTGCATGAATCATAAAAATTTCTACGATTTTTTTTTTAGTAAAAACTTCGTGGTTGGTTTTTTCTTTTTAATAGACATTATTTTGACAGTTGGGAAAGAAAACGCACTAGTTCGGAAAAGGTAAAAAAAAAGCACGAGTGTGTAATAGCCCACATCCCGAACGCTATACGTCCCTGCAATACGCCACTTTTTGAGCAACTGTATTAAAAAATACTTTACGACAGGCGTTAGACCAATCGATTTGGTAAGGTCACGTGACCAAGCTACTATCATTGTTATACAAACTTAATATAACGATAGCGGCCGAGAGTGAAAACTATTATTATTGATATATTAATATATCAATTTCCTTTGTCCCAACAGGATACTGTAAGGGTTATCGCAAACCTCGGTCATTATCGGTCCGATAAACACTGATAATGTTTCAATATTAGCTCAACTAATCGTGTCAATGATTGTAATGTGTTTTTGTTTTTGACGAGTTCCGTGACGTGATTTTAGAAATATTAATTAAACATGGTTTTTCACTATCTAAATAAATCCGTATCATAGTTCATAACGCATATAGTATTAGTATACTATAATATGCGTTATGAACTTACTAGAACCAATATTAGGTTTCACGCGCCTCTTTACGAATTGTGTAGCTTACTTAATGACGACATGTCTGCACTTTACCGATTCATTTAAGAATAATATAATATCAATTGGTATTCTCTTCTTTGGCCATGTATCTTTTTTTATTGTTTAAATTATTAGTTTAAATTTCGTATTTTTATGTGTAATCGTCAATATTGTATTGTATACCGTGTTGCTGTCCTGTATATAATTATTATTTCTCTGTGTAACTGTTCAATACATCAAAAAAAGTACAGCTTTTGTTTCTATTAAAGTGATGTATCTGTTTGTTTCTTCTTAATAAAATAATATTTCAGATATGGAAGTCACTCGAATATCCATCTAACTTTCTGTCTCTGCCAAACCGAAACTGATTTCAAAAGGTAAACTCCATAATTGGAATGGGTATTATCCAGTAAAATTCCTATAATTATCGCGTCATATAACGATATATTACGATGTTGTTACGTGGTATGAAAATTCAATGTTGAAATCGAGTCCGATTTAAGTTACGGCGTAAGTCTACTAGGTTACTTGCAGCAAGCACTAATATCCATCGAGGATATTCAGAGGCTGTATCACTATTAACACAGGCGTATACCGCTGCTGTAACTCGCCCCAGATAGTTGGGAAGCCGATTCATAACGCTGGTGAAATAATCACGCAGGCCCTGGGCCCGTGTTAGATATTCAAATTGCTTAAAACTATTTTCTATTTTTTTCCTATTCCTACTGATTATGAAACTAATATTAATTAATATAACGCGTTTACCATTCGTAGCATTTACCCTAATTGCAGGGCCTTGAATATGTTTTCTCTAATAGCGAGTTTTAACGATTATTGCAATTGATAATACTAGCATAGGCTAGTAATACAACCCGTTCAAGTAAAAAGTTGAAATAAACGACTTGGACTCTTTTTACTATGACAAGATATTTGGAGCCTAGATATTTAATATACTATTATTTGAACAGAAATGTGTTATAAATAAAGTTATATAAGAGATATTAATATGAAAAACGCATATAGTGCATAAAATGTATTCTATTTACGAATTATATTTCTTAATTATTTAATCTATATTACCCAGTTGGAAAGACTGACTTATGAAATTTAGTGAATAACGCAAAAATGTGTCCAATGTTCCTTGCATCGTAATTTATCAAACTCACTTGCGTATTTTTGCACTTTCTATAATTATGCAAATTATATTTTCGAAATCATTAACTAAAGACGTAACCACATCCGAATATGAGTTGTTAGCGAGCCTAAAACCTTAAGCAACTACAGAATACAACATGCCGATGGAGCTTTTAGCTGAATGAAACTGTATGTATTTATTAAGCACAGACACAAAGGGTTTTTTCGCGACACAGTTATGATATTAAGTTAAAAACAAATGACGCTTTCGACTTCTTAAAACCGTCGCGTTACCTACTTGACACGGTTATAATCTTACATAACTCTTCTGTTCGAGTAATAGTCGGCGTCGTTCATGCAACACTAAACATACTTCTTTACCAGCAAATACCAACACTGTTTTACTGTATATAATTTATGTTTTGGGATTCAGAAGTAGTATGGTTTTATCTATAGATTTTTAGCTTAATCTATGGTGTAGGAACACACTTTACTACAGCAATCAACACGATTGTTTTTTTGCCGTAATTTAACAAGTATCCTTGTTTTATAAAGAACAGGGGGCAAACGGAAAGGAGGCTCGGATGATTATTTATTTATTGAAGTTTACCACATCATACATAATTCAATATCCACGGTATAAGTATATGTATATATACAATATAATATACAAGCTATCTTATCTAAAATATGACAATTTTGGTAAACATAGTTGTTCCGAAAAATAGAAATATATATAAAATAAACAAAAAACAGAAAAAAAATTACCATGTGAAGATGTTAAGTGATACCGCTGCCCATGGACACTAAATGTCAGTGGGCTGCCGGCCTTTAAATAATTAATACGCTATTTGACTAAGGGTCCTTCAAGAAAAGATTCTTGAAGGACCCTTAGTCAAATAGGTTCGGAAATACTTCAGTGGGTAGCTTTCTTTAAGTTCTAATAGTGGTGGTACGGGGAAAAACTGGCTTAAAAAACGCTCAGTTGTGGAACGATGGACGTCGAAGTGTTATAGGTGGTTTTCGTATTCTGCCTCGACGTCCGATGGTGAAACTCAGTTGTAGGTATTAAACCAAACACTAAACACTATCCATGGTAAATGCCAACGCCAAGTAATTTGATACTGCCTGGTGCTTTAAGAAAAGTGTGTTCGAAATGAGAAGTAGCGACGAAGGGTGTTTTTTAGCGGAATTCTTTATCTGAGAGCCGATCTAAATGATGGGCGATTATAATAATTTACATTAATTAATCTATCGTTATACTAGTTCTCAAGTTGCATTTGGATATTAGTATTTTCGAATATAAGGATATGTTTTCAATTGATAACTGTATCGAGAGAACTGTATGTCTGTATTAAGCAACACATACACAGTATATACATAGAGATTAAAGTGTAAGTGTTTTTGTTTTTTTTAGGTATTCTTAAATAAGACGTTGATAACCGTGAGGTCATTCACCTCCAAACTGGACAGACACGAAATCGAAACAAGTAAATTGTTGGAAGTGTTTTTGTTTGTAAGCAATTTTGACAACACGTTGACGGACTTAAAAGGTATACAACATGCATTTGGTTCCCGATTTCATTATAAAGACATTTATTGCAAAACGCGGATTGCGTAGCTTTTTATGCCCAAATAATCCTACACTACAGCAAAATTGCATACAAAACTTCGCGTTCGTACTACTCTGTTGGAAGTTATCAAGTGCCAGTAAAGTTCTAAGACAAATTAAAAACTATTAAGAAACAATAAAGAAAAACACCACCTTTGAAGACGTACTAGTAACATAGGAGAGAAAAACTGAATTATCCTTTAGCGACTTTCTTAATAAAACATTTTATGAACCCAAGAATCAAACCAAATTTAACCAAGCTTGTAACACCATGAAGAAAGATGTTATAAGCTTCGAAAAATTTAACCGATTAGTTTTTTAGCTGTTGTAAATGTTACAAAATTCCCAATAAGCGAACGATTCTGAGTGCAACTATTTATTATCTATCGGCATGGACCTCTAATCACATTAATAAAATATCTAATAGAGGAAGCGGAGTTTATTTGTGTCACGTAGGACGATAGACGCTGATATGCATTGCCCTTTGACATTACCCCAGTACTGAATCATTCAAGATAATGCAATCAAATTTTATTATACTAAGCGAAAGAATGCTTTTTGAATATTTAAATGTTCGAAGTCTTCCTTACTTAAGTAAATATTCTTTCTTTCTTTGCGTGAAACGGACACATGAAAAAGGGGTTTAAATATGTATATTGTTTTATGATATTGACTTATTATAATACATTAAAGTTATCTTCACTGCATAAAAGCGTGGCTCGAAAATTCTAAAGATATATTTAGCAGGCAATTGGTTGCCCGGATTGAACCCGGACACATTGGGTTGGCTTCCCGGCGATAATTTTTTAGGATTTGTTGACATCAAAAGTGGGACCCCTAGTCCATTGTTGGGATATGGCTTCAGCGTGCGACTCACATCCTTGTGGTCGTAGGTTCGATCACCGGCTATGCACAAATAGATTTTCTTTTATGTGCGCATTCAACATACGCTCAAAAAGTCGACGGCGTGTGTCAGGCACAGGAGGATGGTCACCTACTTGCCTATTAGATTGACAAATGATCATGAAACAGATTTAAAAAATTTGAGGCCCAGAACTAAAAAGATTATAGCGCCACTTGTCTTTTAAACTATGTCTCAATGAAAAAATCTCAAGACAATATCTCTAGACTCTAATAAATGAGTACGTAAAAATGCAACCAATCAGTCAATAACTCAGTAATTTTTTAAATTTGATATTACGTAGATTACGCATTGATGAATGATATGCAAGTCGCCGGACATTATAATATATCCGGTTTAGTTTCTCTCATACCCTATAATATTCATGAAAGTGGCTAGGCTTTCTAATAAATAGAGACCTCAATTATTATTTTGCGTATTTCTGTACTTTATTCCATGACTTTTAAGTTTATATGAGCGTATTAATTAAAGCAAGTGGGTAAGCCGCCCGTGCCTAGCCCCGATTCGCCTAATCGAACACAGAACCTTGTAATTCTCTATTAGCCACTAAGCCACGAACACGGTCGATATTATATATACAATATAATATGTAATATATTTTTGGTGTTGTAGGTTTTATTTTCGGCGTAGACGGTAGAACGCGTGTTTAGAGATTTTCTTAAAAAATAAAGAACCTATATGCTGACTTTCTAACTGATGTTCATTCGAAATGAACATCACAAATATCACAACACAAAATCCGAAAATAACTAGTAAAATTGTAATAAATAAACTTATCTTAATTCGACGTCATTTGATGACTCTAAAATCGCAAATATGACATAAAAATAATTCATTAGTTTTTAATAACATATCATGTTATTAAAATTAATACGAAAAATTATTTTTGGAAACAAATTGGTACGAAAAATAAATTATTTATTTAAGTGTAATACAGCATTATGTTTTTAAATGTACATTTTAACTATTTCGTAAAACCATGAGCTATGAAACCATTATATATCTATGATATACATTTCAGAAAAACCTAAACTGCCCAAAACTAGACTGTTTTAATAATTTTAGTTGCCTAGCAATAGCATCATGACACAAATGCATATTAAATAAATAATGTAAATAAATATCTTTTTGACCTTATTTTGCCCTCATTGACCGCGTAATTATCACAATATCGTAATATTATAGTAATTAAATTATTTGCATTACTGATTATGTTTTAAAAATTATCAACATGATTAAACACTTCTCTTGTATAAAATATAAGGGAATTAAATCTACTAGTATGTACTATACTAAATGAGGTGAATATAATTTGATTTATTTAATATAGTTCACCACAACATATATAATGCTTTATCAAATTTTAAATATGAGTAACATGGGACAGAAAAACTGAATTACGCTCTGGCGACATACAGTGTTGTACTTGTAAATTGTAACATACAATGGCTTGCTATCTATTCCAAAATACGTGACAATTATGGTGAACTTAAATGTTTCAAAAAATAAAAATATATACACTTCCAATTTCTGTTATGTAATACTATAATGTTACTAGTATTTCTTTGCTTAACAATGCGAATTAGGTATCAAATAGGCACTAATGTCTTTTTTTTAATTGATTGCCCCCTATCTATCAATGTTAATTTCGTTTGACTGTGATTAGTGAACTGCATCTTTAGTCCAATAACAGATGGGTCGTTCAGTTTGACATAATACGCCATCTCTTAGTTTAACATTCTTACGCTAGATTTTCAATTATTTACTATTTATTGTGGCTGGAGCACTCTTTAATAATGTGATTACAATGATTATTCTAAAATTATCAATTATTTGGGACGCAAAAACGTAATTTGATTGGACGAAAACCTCCAAAACTACTCAATAAATATTTCTTAGTCCCTCCCTTCAAACCACCGTTACTCTTAACCCTCTATACGAAATATTGAATCCCTACAAGCCGTTTTGTTGCATATTATCCCTCTATAACTCGAAAAATTACATTGGATTACAGTATCTCGAACATAGCATTGTAAAACCTTTACAGCTAAACTCGAAAGAAAAATAACCTAAAATCCTAAGAAAAAACCTTTAGAAGCCGAATCATCGTAATATCCTACGTATATATAACTCGATTTTTTGGGGTATCCCTTGATGTTCGAGTTATAGTTTCTATACTGTATTTACAGCAAGCCTGCAACTAACTGATAATAATAGAAAAGTACTTACAAGGGCAATTGCACTCTCTGGATACCACTTGCAGGGACGTAGGAATATAGTGAGGATTTCATCATCATCACCGAAGTATAAGTCTTTGTTCTCTTTCAACAACTCTCTCAGTCTTTCCAAAGCCTCCTTTACTCTTTCTGGGGTCTCTCTTAACTCTTCTTCAGCGATGGCTTTGGTCTCTTTCGATAGTTCTACGTTCCGTTCCAGACGGAAGTCATTGGACGTCATTTTGGAAACACCTGGAATCAGAATTGTTTTTATAAACTGAAATTAATAAAACTTTGCATATAAATAAAAAAAAACCCACGCAATATATAAATTTGCTAATTGTGTTCTTGCTAAAGACATATAATATGATAAAGATAATGTTATATTCATAGATTATATGTTTTTATTCATCTACCACATAATATGAATTGTAAACATTTTATTCATAATATGCGCACTTATTTTGCATTTATACCCACTTCTGTTTCTTCTGACTGCTAACTTTAACGGTTTTTTTATAGAACAGGGAGGCAAACGGGCAAGAGGCTCAACTGATGTTGAGTGATACAATCATGGACACTCTCAATGCCATAGGGCTCGCGTGCCGGCCTTTAAAGAATTGGAACGCTCTTTTCTTGTTACATTTTTAAGTGATTATTTTTCCGACCCAAATATCGACCAATAGAATTGCACCATTCGACGTCACGTGGTACAACCTACATGGTATTATACTGATAATTTTTTGAAAATTTTCTCTGGTAGTTGCTTCAAGAAAAGTATTAAGTAGTTGTTTTATTCATTATGAAATTCTTATTTGTTAACTGTACATTTCGTCTCATGGTGCAATTCTATTGGCCGACATTTGGGTCGGAAAAATAATCCCCCGAATACCACACGAGCTTCAAAATTATCTGGCATTTCCCTCAACCTATCGGGAAATACCCGATAATTTTGAAGCTCTTGTGGTATTATAAGTGAATAAAGAAAAAAATTGATTACAACTAATAATATTCAAGTAACATTAGTATAGTTTGTCATATTTTGAATAATATAATATGTGAGTGCTTTGTAATATTCTACCTTTTAATTATGTATGACAAATTTGCACGCCATTATGTGTGGCGGAATATGCGAACTTTAAATTGTACCACCATAATATTTTGTCCCAATCTTGCAAATAAAATATTATTATTATAAAAATATCGATAAATATTTCAAATCACTGAATGTGTTGTTTAAAAAGTGATTTAGCCTACACTAGTGCATATAAAATTTATTATTTTTTATGCTTCACGCTATTTATTTATTACAAACAATAACAACAGAACATAATATGAATTACTGTATATACAAAAGTATTGTAGACGATAATTTACTTAATCTATGCCAAATTTTCACGTCCGTACCGTCAGTTTTATTATTTTAATAAAATCTTTTAACATAAATAATAATACATACTGAGATTTAATTTGAATTAAATAACATTAACAACATCATTTAGAGATAAAGTTGGTGAGTTCATCAAAAAGCAACTAAATTAAATTGTATTGGTAATTTAATTGTATTTGTATGAACATTTTCATAGTTAAAACGAAGAGAGAATTATGTATTTGTTTTAAGTCTTCAATCTTAATTAAGATTATATAATTACTAAGTTTATCAGCTCATTTTCAAATGAAGTATTGAGATAACTGTTATGTATGTTTGCATGTTTGGTTCGAGTCCCGGAAAAGAAGTTGAATCATATAGATGAAAATTTAGGTACGCCCCATGTCCCGAAAATTGCAAGCGGCAATATCTATACGATATGATTATTCGTAACTGAAAAGTTTTTAACTCTGTATAAAAATTTATCGAAGTCAGTTCAGTAATAAAATCGAGTTGAAACTCCTAAAATTAGTAGTTAAAGTTTCATAATTTAACAGTTAAAAGTAAGTAGGTTGTATGGCTCAAAATCTCGACCATAATGATGTCACAATGAAATAATTTGTGTTCAGTCAACTTTACACGCGTGGAGTTGTTACATTGTGCCAAATAAACAACGTGCGAATATCAATTTTACCTAGATACTCTTGCGCAATCAAAATTAATTCCAATCAATTATATAGATAAGCTTATGGCGAGGATTATTTTTGAAACTATTGTCGTCAACTTGATAAGAATAAAGAAAAGAGATTTCGTAACAATCACTTCAAATCTGATCTTATGTGATTTTTTTAATTATTCGACATTTAGCCGTTTTATACAATTTTATTTAATATTTAGTTGAATTAATTTATACACCCTTCCGCATTTTATAAATTGCACATAAATATTAACTATAAACTTGATTTTAATATACACAACACAATGTTTACATACCGTCAATCACGTGTAGAACTAAAAACACGCGAAACGCGAACAATGCGGACCGAGCGCGCGCGTATGAGTGAATGTGCGCGCGCGCAGTACCCGTCGCACTTTTATAGATTATGATAACGCCTTGCCCCTGACACCCTGTGTTTTGCGCCTCTTTGTTTCGGAGGCTGTAACTACGGGACTTCAGATAAGGTTTGAGACATCTTTGTCAGCCAAAACATAATATTAGAGCTCGAACGACAACTATGAATAATATATAATATAAATATATATATTGTATAGAGTTGAGTATAATATAAGTATGATATTATACTTATCCTTACAAACAACTTAATAACTTTTGGAAAGTAACTAATATAGTGAATATTTTTATTATCATACAGATCTAGATATTAGAGTAAAATGTCATCTAGTAAATCTATTTGCGATTTAATTTCAATCTCAATAAGCAACTTATTAGGCCTAAGGTATTAATTATAATTTAAACAATTCTATAAGTAGGGTAGGGCGGGGCTAGTTGAGCAATTTTTCACTTGCTTGGATATAGCTCCTCAATGATAAGTCTCAATGAGTTGTTATGTGTCCTGATGGATTAGTAATTTATCCCTTAACAAAAGTGTCCATAGTATTTTTTTGTAACAAGTCCAATATAATAGCTACAGATGTTTAAATGCAGAAAGTCAAGTATGCTCAATGTACCCCATAGGTGGGGTAAGTTGAGCAAGGTTATGGGGCAAGTTGGGCACTAAGAATGTCTAGGCCAAACCATGGGTTCTATGTTAACTTGAGATGAAATAAAATATGTGTTAGACAGTCAGCTTTTTGTTTATAGTCTTTTATTGACAGAACAACAAAATTTGAAGAAATTTTCTTTGTATAATTAACCGAAACTAGAATCAACAAAACATGAGCATCCATATCTATCCATTACTTCCGATAATTTCTAAAAAAAGATTACCAAGGCTGGTGGGTTCTGGTTTCTGTATGGATAGCTACGATTTTTTTGTTTTTAAAACATCATCAACCATTCTTTTCCGGAAATCTTTTTTGCAATTCAGCTTGGTGGAATTTCAGCACACTCTTAGGCAAGGCGACGGACGTCTTTTGGAGAAAAATGCCATTTGCAGCAAGAATTTTTTCAACAGTTCTCTTGTGAGAGAGGATATACTTCCCTCGGTGTTGTATAGCCCATAAATGAATCATCACCTTCATTTAATTTATTTAAAAGTCAGAATTCTTTAGCGGCGGTATTCACACTTTTTCCCTCATCGTGGACAGCCTTTGCAGCATTATTTAAGTATTCAGTAGTGTAAGAACATCTTGTAGTCTTTCTCTTGTAAGTCCGCATCCAAACAAAAAATAAAAGATTCATTACTCATCAGTTGTTTAAGTCGTAGAGTTAGTTGAGCTATAGTTGCTCAACTTACCCCAACCCGGAATTTTAAAAGAAAAGTAGGATTGTAAATAAATGCCTAGAATTAGACCCAAAACCTATTTACAAATCAAAAATACAATAATCTTCTGAAAGATTAACACTCTCCTGATTGAAAACAGAGAACATTTGACAAAGACAGACGAAAACTTGCGATAAACAATGTTTTTACTTTTTGGTCACAAAATAAACAAAACGCCGTGACACTTCACTCACTCGTCGAGCTGCCACTAGCTATTGTGCGATGATTACCTCTCCTACCACTCCTTCTTTTCGCTATTTGATACTCCCGCGTAAGGTGAATAGTTTCCGAGATATTTCGATTGCCCAACTTGCCCCTATGCTCAACTAGCCCCGCTCTACCCTATATATAACGTACTATTACGTTTATAGATTTTTATTTTGCCACAAGTGTTATTGATGCAATCCTTGTTACAAATACTGAACATAATTATATAAAAATTATGCATTTTTTAAGTATCTATAATAAGCAGTTTTAACAATATAAAATAGTAATTAAACTAAATTCGATTAGAATATGCACACCATTTTTAAAACATTAGTTATAATGTAAAGAAATAGATTTTATGTTATAGGTTTCTTAGAAAAATAATAGTTGTTTTGTTTAGTCTCAAAACACGAGTAAATTCGTGGTTAAGAAAATTATTCTTATATTTTTCCAAATAGAGAACTAATTCATCTATATGGTAATAATAAAAATAATTAAAAGTTTACAAAAAAATTTAAAAAGTTTGGTCGCTGTTGCTGTCAGTGTACCTTTAACGCTGGCAGCATTTCCTCGCTGTGTTGCGATACTGATTCATTGAGCGAGGAAAGCACCAGCTCTGGGGTCTACTATGTAGGTTAAGAAAATTGTAAATACTGTATATTTGATTGTTATGTTTAGATTCATCTATTATTGACATCAGCTAATTATCTATTGGTTAGATGTTCACATAATATCTTATCGTTCTTCCGCTACCCTCAACTCTGGAAATTTCAACAGATATTGTATTGTAAAGGCTTGCGTAATTTTTATACAAACAACTAACAAGTCCTGATGGTGTGTGGTTGTACCTGTAAGAGCCACATTCAAATAATCCGACGATTCCAAAACAAACTGCTCAGAGGAATTCTCAACCCTCCCAGGTACCGGATGTACCAATGTAATAACGACCTCCATCGGGACCATAATGTAGTCCTTCTAAATAACGACGGCGACTGCTAGGTTGGGGAAAAAGTTTCTTCGCATTTTTTAAGAAAATTCACAACATTTTTTATTAAGTTTAGTTACATTTAACTAAAGTATGTAGATACCATTTCGTTCGATAACTTTTTGTAGGTAGGGACATGACCCATTGCTATTGAAATTTTGGGGCTTCTGATCAGAATACTAATTGGTTTTGGCAGTCCTCTCGTGATGTTAACCTGACACTATCTAAAGAATTCTGAATATGAAGGTACAAGGTCTAATTTTTAACACCTCCCAGCCAAGCTCCCTTAATTTTTGCCGAGTAGCTAAAGATGTGTGAGGTCTAGCGTTATCATGATGAAAAACCACACCTCTTCTGTTGATTAATTCTGGCCGCTTTCTCTCAACTTCTTGCTTTAATGAGATTAAAGTTGTTGATTCAGTTGTTCGCAGTAGAGGTCAGAATCGATGGTCCTGCCTGGTGGTAACAGCTCATAATGAATAATGCCCTTCCAATCCCACAACACACACAGCACACCTTGTTGCGAGTTAACCCGGGTTTCGCCACAGTCTGTGAAGCCCGACCGGCTTTTGACCACGACCTTTTTCGCACGTTCTTGTCGTACGTGATCCACTTTTCATAACCAGTAATCAGCTTCTTCAAAATGTTTCGGTTTCATTACGTAATAATAAGGAATCACAAATGAGTACACGATTCATTAGGTTTCTTTCAGTGAGCTCGTGAGGTACCCAAATATCGGGTTTTTTCGTGTACCCAGTTTTTTTAAATGCACCAAAACTGTTTTCTGGTCAATTCCCAGTTCTTCAGCTACTTCGTAACAACTTATATGCCGATCTTGCTCCACTTTTTCAAAAATGGCATGTGCTACTCTCAGATACTGCACTAGGTCCATAAACATCGCAAATTTTTTTCGCGGTATTGCGTTGCATTTTACCTTTTTTGTAATAAAATTTTAAAATGTATCGAATTTCTTCATTACATTCACTCTTCTTGACAGTATGAAAAATAAATAAAAATCACAAATTTTCCTAATTTGAATTTGGAAAATTTGTGATTTTTTTTAAATTTAACTTTTAATGATACCAGCATCAGCCAGATACAAATTAGTATAGCCAAAGAGATTTTATTACAAGTTCATGCATATATTCTAGCCGATATGTATTAAGTTTTAAAATTCTTAAAACTTTATACGAATATAAGGGATTGGTTAATGTTTAATGGTTAGTGGACTCAGTTTCCGCACTCCTTCCAGAAGCACAGAAGTCAGAAAGGAACATCATCTAATAGCTTTGAAACGTACACAAAGAAATTAAACGTCAAAATATTAAAGGATGTTTTTTGAAGTTTGAACGGAAAACAATAGATAGTAGCTGAATAAATAATAAATCGATGTACATTTAGTCGTAACAAAATACAAAGATCAAATATGAGTCACCGGAAGAAAATATTTTTTGCTTTTGTTACAGTTTATTTAGGTTTTAGGTACAATAAACTATGTGTAATCCATTACTTTATTCTATTAATTAATCATCTTATACTTTCAATTACTTTTTGGGTCTTTTTTTATATTACTTTGAGCATTATTATTTAGCCAAGTAAATGTGTTCGGTGACAAACTCGCGTTATCTCATGATTATATTGTTTCCTACCGTACTAAGCTAATACTGCACAAAATATTTCATTGAAAATTATTTAAAGCATGCATCTCTGTGTAAGAAACAATAATTATAGACACTGCCGGTACAGTTCCTGGGTCATCAGGGTGCTTTAAATAATAGAGGATTTTAGTTTTACTCTATATTAATCACTCGCGTACAACAATAGAATATAAGCGGAATAATGAAATGTTAATTGCTATGTAACGAATTAATGCAATGTAACAGTCGAAGAGAGTGCCTGCGTCTGGCTATACTCTCGGGGCGTAACTCCGACGATTTAGGAAATCACCACTAGTAGGTACTAGGAAATAAGAAAGCCTGAGTGAGCAAAATGTACAGCCTTGGCTCGTACACTGCCATAAAGGTACTAATAGTTACTGTATCGAAGGTACTTGTATTCTCCTTAAAATATAAAGTAAAAGAATTTCAAATGAAAATACGGTAACGACAGTTCAAATAATTTATTATAATTTATTCAATTTGTTATCATAGAATTGTCAGCTGTAGTATCAGCAGCACTAGGTGCTTCATCGCTCTCCGAATCGTCACTACTTGCTTGCTGCAACAAAATTTAATTAAATTAAATTAATTCATATTGTTGTGTTAGTTTTTTTTATTTACTACGTGCCCTGGATACAAGTCCTTTAGCCGGGTGCTAGGGCGAGATTCAGATTAGACAATTAGCGTAAAGTGTGAAACGCGTATGTCAAAAACCCATGTGATTTTGATGTAGGGTAGGAAAGAGTGTTGTTAGTATTGTTACTATCTCAGAGTATATCGTATATACCACTAGTTGGCGTTAGCAACTTTGAGCGTCATAATCTCACTCAATAGTAATACGAATAGCGAGAAATTCGCATACACCCAGTCTTTAGACGACTCATTGGTCTAGTGGTTAGTACCCCTGACTGCGAATCCATGGGTCCCGGGATCGATCCACGGCTGAGACGAACATCGATGTGATGAGCATTTGGTGTTGTGCTTAGGTCTTGGGTGTTTAAATATGTATTTATATGTCTATCTATCTATAAGATGTATGTATATCCGTTGCCTAGTACCCATAACACAAGCTTCACCAGCTTAGCATGGAATTTTTAAATAAAATTTAAGACTTTTAAATTTAAAATTTATGCCTTTTTGTACCACCACCCAAAAGGCCGACAACGCACCAGTCTGGTGATGGTTATCACGGACCCATAAAAATATATTTATACACATACCTCAAACTTAAGATCTGCATGTTTGTTACCCATGAGATTCTTCTTAAGATACTTGAAGATGATATCTCTGCATGTATGCGCTGTGTTCGCGGCTAGCCATCCTCTCTTGGGATGGCACTGATAGCCACTTGGAGGCTCCACTGCTAGAATTTCTTGCACTTCCGGTAGATGTATATCGCAGTACTGTAGATTATAAAACTTAGTTATGAGCATATTCAGATTACGTAAAATAGATTAGCCAAATTCTACAAATCTATTTAGATTTTTTCTATGTACGATAAGAAACTTTTCTCACTTTAGATTTAAAAAGACTCAATACTTTCTTTAGTAATTTGAATGCATTTTAAAATATAAAATTTCCGTAGAAAAATTGTAATGAGAAAACCTAAGATAACAAAATAAGAATGCAATAAGAAAAATTGTAGCCAGCGCATTAAATTTGACACACACGAGACATAACATTCTATGTTATGAGTAATCTCTCGATAAAACAATCGTAAACCCAACCATTGTGTATAGAAATGACTAATAATTTAATAATTAAAATAGATTGTAAGGAATCATTTGACTAAAGAGCTTTATTTCCATTTCCACATCTACGTAATTATATGAAACAGCTACGGTCATCCATATTTGTTACTAATAAGTACTGTTTTTCAAATTGGACATAATAGTTCTATGAAATGTACCAGGCAGACTAGCTTCTTTAGTTTCATTCATTATTTCGTCGTTTACCAACAACATACAATTGTGTACAAGTGACACTAAAAACATCAAATGAACGAAATATGGCTGAAAACAGCAAATTCTGAAATTCCTATACATTTTATTTAATATACAGAAATACAGTCAAAATAATTAAATTTAAAAAAGCGCCTGGGGGGGGGGGGGCGCCCCCGGTTTTTTTTTTTGGGGCAACTTTCGGGGGCCTTTCGAGGGATCTCTTCCAGGCAAGTACTGTGAGAAAAAATGTAAATACATAAATTTTACTTAGACAAAAATAATGGAACAAAACTAAGCAAGTTAAACATGTAACAGTGAAAGGGGCAATAAAAAAGGAAATGAAAATGAAAAGGATTTTTTAATTTTAATTACATTAAAAAATAAATAACTATTAATGTGTCTTATACTTGTTAGTTTTTTTATAAAAGTAAGCTTTATAATTATAAAAACGGTAAAACTTTCGGAAGAAAAATTCGAAAAGGAATATCTTGTTATCATACCATATAAAATATTTGGCGTTGCGTTGGCAAACTATTTGGTGTTAGGTACAATGCTCCTTCAGGAATTATTTCCTCTGAAGGCTCTTCAAGCGGCATTTTCTTCATACGGTCTCTTTTAACTGTTTCCAGGTCTTGCGACACGCAGGAGTAAATTCCTGTCAAAGAAAATTAAAGGAAATTTTATAACGCACGTAAAAGATTTTTAAAAATCCTGACAGAACCAGTATACTAGATAATACTAGGCGTTTAAAAAAAAAAAATAAAATAAATCAGTGGCGCTATAACCTTTTCAGGTCTGGGCCTCAGATTACTGAATCTGTTTCAAGATCAACCTTATTAGGCAAGTAGGTGATCAGCCTCCTGTGCCGAACCCCCCCCGGCGGCTTTTAAATATAAATTTAATTTTTTTTTTTTAAAAAAAAATTTTTTTTTTTTTTTTTTTTTTTTTTTTTTTTTTTTATGATCATTTGTCATCCTACTTGCCTCGCGTCGTCGACTTTTTGGGTCTAAGGCAAGCCGGTTTCGTCACGTTGTTTTCCTTCACCGTTCGAGCGAATGTTAAATGCGCACATAGACAGAAAGTCTGTTGGTGCACAGCCAGGGTTCGAACCTACCACCTCAGGGATTTGAGTCGCACGCCAAAGCACGCAAAAGTATGTAACTATGCTGTTACTGCCATTCGCTCTCTGTTTTGGTTGAAACCGTGCAAACTTTCCGAACCAATAAACGTTGTTTCAATTGATGACTGGTATGTCTGGAAGAAGTTTTGATCCTTTATTGCTTTTTTGTGATATTTTTTGTGGCGTAAAAAAGTGTTTATTATTATTTGACCCGCTACTTTAATCATTAAATCGAACCAATGACGTATTGATGGGCAATCAAGATAGGGTTTTGAGTATGAAGAGTCGGCTTGGTTTTTAATTTACCACAAATTGGAGATTCAGTTTTAATTAAATTTAAACCAGTTGAGTGCTATTGGATTCTTTTTTTTATGGGAGGCTCATCTGATGTTAAATGATAGCCGACCATGGACAGTCACATTGCCAGGAGACTCGCAAGTGCGTTGCCGGCCTTTTAAGAAATTGTACGCTCTTTTCTTTAAAGGTCCTTAAGTCGAATTGGTTCGAAAATACTTCACAGGGCAGTTGGTTCCACATAGCGGTGGTACGCGGCAAAAATTGCCTTAAGTTACTCAGTTGTGGAACGACGTACGTCGAGGTGATACGGGTGGTATTTAGTATTCTGTGTTTAGTACTTATAAATATAACTATTAATTTATAATAATACTTTAGTGGTCTGTTTCGCAATGTACGGATAAGTTCTGCATTAGTTCCAAATTAGCTATTTATTACTTATTGGTAGGATAAAATCTATTGTTGCGTTTCACGACTGTCAGATAGCGCTATTCGTCACATAAAGTCCATCATAAGTTATGAGTCCGATGAATGTCAAATAGCACAATCTATCTTCCAAATAATTTGTGTTGCATAGCTATTTGGTACTTTATCCATACATTGTGAAACAGACCCTAAGTATCATTAAATATAATATATTTAAAGATACCTAAAGAAAATTCAACTATATGGTGGATATTAAAACTTGAACAATTCATACAAATAGGTACTTCATATATTTTATATTAGCAACAACTTAGCTATTAATTGTGACCAATCTCATTACTTAATTACTTATTCAAACGTACGAACTGAATACACAATAAACATACTTTATTTAACTAATGAAATTATCTATTGTTTTACTATCGTCAATTTACATTACGTGATGTGTATTTGAACGTGCATGGGGGTGTCCCCCCGCTCAACGATATTTAGGTTACAAAGTGCACGGTTTTAGCAAACAACAAGAAATCTATTGCAGCAGGAGATTCACCTGGTGTTAAGTGATACCACCCATGGACACTCACACTGCCAGAAGAGTGCATTGCAAGCCAATAAGAATTAGTACGATATTTTCTTGAAGGACACAAAATGCTTAGGAAATACTTCAGGGCAGCCGGTTCCACGTAATGCAAAAAGTATGAACTTACTTCAATTATTAGTAAGACTGATAGAAATTATGAATAACTACGTAAATCTGTGACCATTAAACTAAACGTTTTTATTTACTATTTCTTTAAGAATTACTTGACGCGATCGTGTCGAAGCTGTAGTGTAAAGAAACTAAGGGCAGCTCTCTAAAAAATAAAAATCAATGTTTTTATTTTTTTATGATACAGCATACAAAAATACATACAACCCTAAATTTTCACCCCTCTACGATCAACCCCTATTTTTTATTTGTTAATTAAAATCTTATGACTTGAACTCATTCTTCTTATCTTTATATATAGAGGAAAATTCACAGAAAAACCTATAAAGTTTTCATTCCGGAAAACCAAACAGTCACTAGGTTAGCATAGCAAAATGTTCCGTGTTGGTATGTACTAAAAAGGTAGGCTAAGTAAAATCACATTAAGGAGAAACGAAGTTCGCGGGGGCAGCTAGTATTTGTAAAGAATTTAAATGAACAAGAAAAATAAAAATATTACCTGCATTTCTAAGCCTAAAGTCCAGCATTTGATAGTACCTTGCATAGGGTTCTTTACGTGGATCGTAGCCAAATTTCACCCACAACAATTTCCATGGCCCATTCAAGTTATGGAATGCGATACATGGCAATATTACTTTTAAATTCACAGTCCTAAGTCTCGTGTGATGTTTTATGTGATTAAATGACCACACTGGCCGTTCATCGAACATCTTGAAGGAAAATTGTATATTGATTAATATATTAAGGCAGGAGCTCCAAAGATTAGCTCGTTTTCCCTAACAAACACAAAAACCCTATTACTATAATCGGGTTGAAAACCATTTATTAAGACCCCAGGCGTATTTGCAACTATGAAAGTGCGAATCATTAGGAGTTTTGGCCTAGTGGCTTCTATTAAATTTTCTTTTTATGTTTAAATACTCGTACGGTGAAAGAACCATGGCTTAGACCAGGGGTCTCCAAACTACGGCCCGAGGGCCACATCTGGCCCACTGACAGATTTTGTCCGGCCCGCGGAGAGCTAGCATACTTGAAAACTCCTTTTAGATATTTTTTATAGCAAATTAAATTTAGTTTACTGAAGTATTCTAATTTTATGTTGAATAATTATTAATATGACATCTACATTGATATGGTCATGGGCTAACTACTCATAACATTGTTGTAGGCTTATTGTTATTGTTTTTGTGATAAAAACATAACTTATAACAAGCATAATGACATATTATGGTTTTGGCCCTCGGAACTTACTAGAGTAATCAGTATGGCCCTAAGGCTGGAAAGTTTGGAGACTTCGGCTTAGACCCACAAAAGGATGATCATCTAATTGCCTATTACAAAAAACAAACAATTACGAAACAGATATAAATCTGAAGCTCATATCTAAAGGGTTGTATCGTCACTTGTTTTTTTTATTTGCACAAAGCATTTTTAGATTTTTAAAAAATGAAACGATATTAAACCGGAGTAAAAAGTATTTATGTTTATTATTTATAAATTTACAACTATTTGGGTAAAACCCCCGGACATAATTTTAAACTGTCAAATCAACGACCCGTTTCGACACTGCTTAAATCCAGCGTGAACGTGGTCAACGGCACGTGACGCTATACTGCTGTAAAAGCAGTGTTTCTAAAAAAGGGGCGGCGTTTTCCATTAACATAATGCAAAAAAACAATCATTTTCGCTCGTCCAAATCACGTTTCCACTCATTGTATTAATTAAATATGGGCACCGCTACAACCGCGAAAAACGTTGAACTTATGTTTATCACCGCTATGACGGCCGTCATGCAAATTACAGCACCGCTATTTCACGTTACAGTGACACTCAGCGATCTCTAGAAAACTTACTCAGATGTTATTTATAGACAACGTATGGGTGACGTCACCGTGGCCGTTAGATAACGGCACCGCTTTTCTAGGAAACCTAAGCTTATTGATACAAAATCATCTACTGTTAGAATTTAACAACTGGCTTATAGCTAATAAAATATTACCTTTTGAACAATCTCATATTCTTCATTTATCTGTGGATTCATTGAAGCTTTAGTATTTTTAATCGTTATAAAGTACTCATGAGGTTCAGTTGGAATTTCATCAACCAAATTGAACGAAAACCTGCGGACTGGTATTCCCCTGTCGGACCTCATTTTATGAACTTCATCAGGATCTGCATTTAAAAGTTCATCCTCAGTCACATTTATTTTTTTATCAGCATAGGAGTAATTTATTGGTTTGTCAAATCGTGTAAAACTACTGGGTACTATGTGAAATGGCGCTGGTTCACTAAAAAAATCAGTTTAATACATATAGTAAATAGCTATTACATATTTTTTTGTAATCAGTTTTCAGTAAACCATACACAATTTACTTTGTTCCTAGGAATAAACTGATACAGATATTTTACTTTTTGAAATTGGTAATCCAGAAAAGCCTCAATTACAAATGTATGATTCATCAGGGACGAAACCTAATTCTAAAGATTTACAAATGAATTTTTAAAGGTTATAAATAGTTATTGCTCAAAATGGTAGTTAATTTTACACCAAAGGTCTTTATGAATATAATAATTATCTTACTCCAAGAATTTCGGGTCTTCTAATCCGGCAGGTATTAATTTTTCCAACAAACATTCTGAGTTAGGACCATTTGTGACAGGTAAATATTGAAAATCACACACAGCTGAAAAGAGGTATTATTTTTCTATATACTTGTATATGTAATTGCACATAACAATGAAATGTAAAAATGAACTTAATGGCTGAGTTCAAAATAGGTACGTTCTGTCAAAAAAGTTTCAGAAATGGATATTTGTTTATGGTTGTTTATGCATGGATGTTTATGCTGCACAATTTTTGTTTAGATCATAAGTGTATTACAATTCAAATATTGAACAAAAAGTTTGTCTCAAATTGTCGCAACCATCTTATTTTACTAAAACTCAAATTACTTAATACTATTATTTAATATAAATTAAAATTTAATATTGAATAATCTAAATTTGTTAGCTGAAGTTTGTTTCTGAAGGAGTATACTTTTAAAGTGACAAAAAGATTTGAATAATTACTTTTTAGTTTAATTATTTTGTGGAATATGTTATAATTTTAGGGCACTTTCTTGACAGAGCAGTAAAACAATAATATACTTATCCATTTAAGGTAGACAGTATGACTGTGTGCTTAATGGCTTCTTTCAAATTGATTTATGCATAAAACTTACATTCAAACTTATGAATCTTCTTTACTTGACCGACAACAGAAGTATTCACTACTTCTCTTTTTAATTTTCCATCTTCCTTTGTCTTTTTAACTTTAACTTTAAGCAATACCCCAGTGACTGCCTTTACATCACCATTTATTTTATTCACATATGGATTATCAGGCTGAAAACTTAGTGAAAGATGTTTTTTTGATGATGGTGAGCAAACCTAAAAGATTTAAATATATAATATAATTATTGCTACAGTGCCAGCGTTTTCAAGAGTATAAAACATTATTCTTTGATATGGCAAAAAATATGTAGTTGGTGACACTGTAGCATATACTGTTTATTCTTCCTAATGCTGCTCTGCAAGGTTTATAGATGTGAAGGCGCTATTTCTAGCGCTATTACTCAGGTCGTTACAGTTTGAAATTCCCAGCTGTTTAAGCAAGTGCTATGTGTATTGTACGCTTAATCTTAATATATATAAATTACGTGTCACGTTGTTTGTCCGCTATGGACTCCTAAACTACCAAACCGATATCAATCAAATTTGCACACCGTGTGTTGTTTGATCCAACTTATATGATAGGATAGCTTACATCTCAATTTGTACCCGCAATATTATTTTATTGCAAAATATTTGTTTATTATTTGATAGTCACAATTCTAACAGACGGCGCTGTGTTGAAAGTACCAACGTTTCAAATAAGCTACAATTTAATGGCATTACCACCAAAAAATGCATGGTGGTCCCCATGACTGGTGTTCTCCTACCGTTTCCCTTGAATAGGTTACTACTACGTAATATAACTATAACCTTAGCCACAGCAACGCTTGGCCGGTCTGCTAGTTGTTTATATATTTTGGATCAAACAAAGATTTTTCCACAGTTACCTGAGATATTGTTTTTAATCCACCCAAATACTGTATCGCGTTTTCTTCATTCTTTACATTACCAGGAAATAGAACACAAACTAGTTCTTTATTTAGTGCTCCTAAATTTTCCATTTTAAAGTCATAAGTTAACGTGAATTATTTAATTCAATGTATTTTTTTATCCCATTAAAAGAAAATATCCGGATACCGAATTAGCAACAATGAGAATGTGTACGAACGAAAAATAAACAAAATACACATGTTTTCTAAATTTCAGCATGTCATACGTCAAAACTCATTTTTTTCAACTCTTAATTTTCACGTCAAAACTCAAAACCATGTGTTTACTGTTTAGTGTAGATGATGATATTAATTTTCCCTAATGGGAAAAAGCAAAGGACTTTGGTCCATAGCCTAGCCATATTGATGCCGAAAAGTATTCTACATACACTACGAAAACGATTCCTTCGTAGTAAAATAATAACATTAAACTATAATTTTGATTTATTTTTCCCCTTATGTAACTATTCTGATTTTGTTGTAAATTTAATGCGTTTTCAATCATCTATGTTATGTCGCGATTAGTTTCCTTCGTTTTTTATTATTCATAAACTGTAAATAATTAAAATAGCGACTTATAAAAATCCTATACCTACTTGACGCTGGCTAATGCACAAACCGTGCCAGAGCCATAAAGGAAAAAAAAAAGAGACACGTAGTAAACACTACCGCAAAGTCGGCAGCGTAGCCTTGAGCTGCTGTTCGAAGCACCTTATTCCGTCATATTGTCTCTGGATTAAATGTATTCCTAATGTTACATTTATAAACCTAATAAACGTAAAAACTTTACAATATTATTGTACACTTGCAATAGGAAGCTGCAAAATGGACATAAGAATAACAGCAAGGTCGGAACAATTTTTGATTTAAGTGGAATTTATGAAAAAATGCAAAGTTGCATAATATAAGAGTTTAAATTGCATGTTAAAATTATTATATAAGTTTGTTTCATGTTCTCTCAAAAATTAAAGGTTATAAATAAATAAAATATTTTGAATCTATAACCGCAATATACAATAATTAGTAGTACAAATACTTTATATTTTTGGGATTAGACAACAACTAATTCTATTATACCGCTTAGAGCCCAACGCAAGCACAGTGCGTTTTCCAATTACAGAGCATTATGCGACTCAGTGCCGCACAATGCCGCATAATGCTGAATCTTAATTGGAACGTGAATTAGTTTTCAAATGCATCAGCAGAGTGCGCTAAGTCAGTGTTGTAAAAAAAATGTTATGAATTGAGTTAGCAACCTCATTAATGTATAAATAATGTGGTAAACAATAATAATGGGTTCAAAACTTTTTACGCTTATTTTAATCATCAAATTATTTCATTAACATTTTTTTATTGAAATAATAGAAAACCTTTAAAGAATATAAGGTTTTAACAAGCTAAATTAACAGTAAAATATTTAGTTTCATGTAAGAAGTTTACATCATTTACGTTTTGAGTAATATTTTTTAATGATTTCTAAAAAAATTATATACTTTTTCAAAACCATTGCAATTTTTTCTAAACTATAATCCTGTAAAATAAATTTGTTTACAGATCCGAATTTTAAAATAAAATTGTATTCATATTTTAAATGTGGAATATAAAAAAAGTAACTATTTATACCTCCATCCATACTAATATTTATTTTTTTTAGCAGTTTGAAATAACTTTAATTATTTTCAAAATCTACGATGAAACGAAAGCCTTACATATTTTTCAACAATAAATAATATTTACTAACGAAAATTTCAATAAATGCCAACTTAAAGAAAAATACTGGTCAATTTTCTGTCACTGTGTTGGTATTGTTTGAGAGAAGTACGCGAGAGCATTCGTTTTGAGAGTGCTCAATTTTGCGAAGCGTTGCTGTAGTTGGAACACTCAACGTTGAGCATTATGCCGCATAATGCGCTCTAGTGCTGTAATTGGAAAACGCACAATGTGTGCTAGAGACAACTGTAAACGTAGGCCCCTCTTCACAACAATACGTTTAACGGTATTTTCTGTGGTTCTTCCGACTTCTATGTTGTCTGTGCAATAATAATTATTTTATTGTTGGGGGGGGCCCCCCCCCCCCAAACCCTTTTTTTTTTTCCCCTTTTTTTTTTTTTCCCCCCACCCCCCCCCCCCCCCCCCCCCCCCCCCCCCAAAACCCCTCTTTTTTTTTTTCTCCCCCCCCCCCCCCCCCCCCCCCCCCCCCCCCCCCCCCCCCCCCCCCCCCTTTTTTTTCCCCCCCCCCCCCCCCCCCCCACACCCCCCCCCCCCCCCCCTTTCCCCTTTTCTTCCCCCCCCCCCCCCCCCCCCCCCTTTTTTTTTTTTTTTTTTTTTTCTTCCCCCGGGGGGGGGCCCCCCCCCCCCCCCCCCCCCCCCCCCCCCCCCCTCTTTTTTTTTTTTCTTCCCCCCCCCCCCCCCCCCCCCCCCCTTCCTCTCCCCTTCCCCCCCCCCCCCCCCCCCCCCCCCCCCCCCCCCCCCCCCCCCCCCCCCCCCCCCCCCCCCCCCCCCCCCCCCCCCCCCCCCCCCCCCCCCCCCCCCCCCCCCCCCCCCCCCCCCCCCCCCCCCCCCCCCCCCCCCCCCCCCCCCCCCCCCCCCCCCCCCCCCCCCCCCCCCCCCCCCCCCCCCCCCCCCCCCCCCCCCCCCCCCCCCCCCCCCCCCCCCCCCCCCCCCCCCCCCCCCCCCCCCCCCCCCCCCCCCCCCCCCCCCCCCCCCCCCCCCCCCCCCCCCCCCCCCCCCCCCCCCCCCCCCCCCCCCCCCCCCCCCCCCCCCCTTTTTTTTTTTTTTTTTTTTTTTTTTTTTTTCTTTTTATTTTATTGTTAAAGTTTCGCTCCAAGTTCCAAATATCAACGGAAACGATAAAAATAATTTATAACATTATTTAATATTAAAAATAATTAATGTTTATGATTCAATTGTAATGTCAAAGTGTATATTTCAAAAGATTTTTTAAATATAAACGGTACCGGGAGAACTTCAATAACTCAGAAAACATAACCTCTACGATGGCTGATGACGATTTTAGTAAACTTTTACAACAAGCTGAACAATTAACAACAGAGATAGAGGGAAATGAAGACCTTCCAAGAGTTGAAAGATCTTTAGGCCAAGTATTGGAAGCTTCACACGAGCTATATTCAAGAGTTATTCAATCCGGCTCCAATGATATTCAGGCGTAAGTTTAGTTATAAATGTAACATTTTTATGCGTTGTATATAATCTATTTCCTTAAACTTTTATAACGTTTTTACAGCCATCTATTGTTTGGGTCTAAAGGAATTGATTTGCAGCAAATATCTCAGAAATTAGAAACTTTATCTTCTAAGAGAACATTTGAGCCATTGCAACCAATTGCAGATTCCGATATTGAAAGTTTTCTTAAAAATGAACGCGAGAATGCAATTTTGTCATTAATTGATGAAGTCAACAAAAATGTAAGTAAACTTAATGTTTTAATCAGTATAGCTTACAAATATTGTATGTCATATGTAATATTTAAGTGCCTTTACTAGTATGGACCTTCTCTAATAGTCAGTTAAGGTTTTGTTGTTTCCATATCATCTACTCAAAACATTAATAGGAAAATTAAAATCTATAAACATTTTAGTCATTGCAAACAACAGAAGATCAAAAATGGGAACACATGCTATCGGAATGGAACAAAGAAAAAATAAAGCTTATGAATGCTATGATTGGGCCATCTCAGAATTGGTTGGACTTGAAGAGAGCTCCTGAAACTCCTAGTATTGCTGATACTCCAAAGAAGTTTGGTCATTCCATGTTAGACAGTATAGAAGCAGCTTATTCAAGACAAGTGCAGCAGTATAATAAACTTGTCTTTCAAGGAGCAAAATCAAGGACAGCTCTTCATCAAAAGTTTGCACAAGTAGCTGATGAATTTAATGACCCAGTAAGTACTGTTGCCATTCTTAGATTCCACACCTTTACATAATTTAAAAATCTATTACACAAATAGAATAAACTTCTCTTATGAATAATCATAGTTGGAAGTATCCGTCTGACTGGCAACACTTACCAGTTTCCTGGCATTGTAAGAGTGTCACTTAACATCGGACTCAATTCCTCCCTAAATAAGTTTTTTTTTTTTTAATAAATTTTATATAGATGTTAAACTTACTTTCTGGTACGCACAACGGACCAATTAGGAGTCTTATTGCGGAGAAAGGAGTCCTACTACCCTAACTTACTTTCTATTAAATAATTTCAGAAAGTTAAAGAGATGTGGGAAATTATTAAGACAATGTCAAATATACCTGCTCTTGTAAGAGATGAAGATCCATTAAAGGCAAGAGGGAATCCTACAATTCAACAATGTTTAATTGCACAAGGAAAAAAGTACTTAGAAAAGAGGTATGCACAGAATTGTGTACTCAGATTAAAATATTTAATGTATTGTAAAATAAACAATTTAAAAGTGAATAGGGTCTTGATACCATATCAAGCATTGATCGCCAAGAGCACCCCTCAAATTATAAGAAATTAAACCAGAAGCATGCTTAGATTAATTAGAATAAAAAAATAACTAGATAAAAGTAATTTAGAAAAGTTTTACCAATTCTTTAATGACTTCTTATGTACCTAAAGATCATTATGATACATGTTCACTCCATAAATCTATGTGCATATCTTAAAAATGTACCAGTTTGAATAAACATAATAAGAAAAAGATCAGCATTTTTGTTTTATGACAATGAAGAATGAATGAACAATGAGAATAGAACTTTGACAACAAAAAAATGGCAAACATAAATATACTTACATTAGGCTACACAGTTAGAAAGAACATCATACACAAATATTATCAACTCAAACTGTCAAACTGAAAACCTACTTTTTGACTAGGTTAACATGCTTAACACGGATTTTAGTTGATTTTAATACGAATGCAAATACTGGCACAATATTTATCGTTTTTTAACTCATATAAGAATAACTTAGAAGAACGCAACATTATCTTCGAATTATTTGCCATGTTTTATTTATATATTTTTATGCACACAATAATGTTCCAGATACAAACAATACATGAGTGATGTTGTTCGGTCCAACCCAGCAGCGGCGATGAGAGGTGGTGAGCCTGGAACTTTTCCTCTTGTACGAGGATTTGTAGGGCTCCGCTTACAGGGCCAGAGTGCCCAAGGCCTTACTGATGGTGTCATTGATGATAGGCCACTTTGGCCTATGGTGTATTACTGTTTACGAAGTGGTGATGCAAGTGCTGCTTTACATTGTTTGAGGAAAGCTGGGTATGTACCTACTATCTTATTTATTAACTAGCTGTTGCTTGTGTTTCACTTGCAATTTGCTAACCAAATTATTTATAAAATATAAAAAAATAAAACAGTCAGTACTTAAAATATCTTTGTGTGCAGACCGCAAACTATGTGAGCTAACTAAAATATGCGAAGCTAAGTTAGTAGTGTATGCGGTTGCGCAGCTACATGAGCTAAGCTAAGCCCCTCCCGCTACCCCGCACACCCTTTGCACATCCTTCGCCACACTGACTGAGCTTTGGCTTAGCTTTTGGTGTGCACGCTATTTATTTCTAGCTTAGCTTAGCCTAGCTTTCTTGGCATAGCTTAGTTTTCGGTTTGCAACCGGCTTTATGCTTGTAAAACACAGCTGGCTTAAGGAAAATTAGGTCTTACAGTGAAACAAGGCTGTCTATTATTGGCTATTTTCCCGGAGATGCACCAGACAACTTAAAGAGACTTTGTTTATAGTATGTTTTGAAAATTAAATATTATTAATTTAAGTATTAACTGTTTTTAGACGAGAGCATGAAGAATTTATAGCAGCTTTAGAAGAACATATGAGGAACCCCGAGAAGGCTCTCAGTGAAAAATTACAGACAGCCATCAATTTTCAATACCGAATACAAGTGCGGAACTCGACTGATCCATACAAACGCGCTGTGAGTTTTTACCAAAAATAGATCACAATTTCAAATAAACTTGGAAATTAAAACTATTTTTAGGTTTTACTACGAACTAGTGAAGTGCGATACTTAAAATGTTTTTAGGATTTATTAAATTTACCGGTAAATTGGAATTTTTATAATAATTATGTATTTTGGACGGGAAATATATTATAATAGCTCTAATATACAGAAGGCATGTGTTTCTCTTATGCTATAAAACAAAGTCAAATATTTTTAACTTATTGACACTTAGATTTTGTACCGTAGTTATCTTTTAATTAAAACTTTGCCTCCAAATCTTATTAATTCGTAATTTTTAGGTATATTGTATAGTAGGTTGCTGTGATGTGACCGACGAACATACAGAAGTAGCTAAAACTGCAGATGACTATCTCTGGCTAAAGCTATCTATTATAAAAACGAAATCAACTAACGAATCCGAGTCATTCTCATACTCAGATCTACAGAAGTTGATATTGGAAGAATATGGTTGGTATTTTATCGCTTTATTACCAGCGATCAGCTTCGGCTTAGGAAGGGCAACTATATCATTCTAGATATGGCACTATAGGATGGGGGGGAAATGGTTTTTGATTTTCTTATTAATTAGTGTAGATTAAAAATTATCTTAAATTAAAGTAATTTGTCTTAATTGAATCAAGATATTATTTTTAGCGTTAAATGGAACTATTATGATTTTCACACAAAATTATTTTAATAGCAAAAAATTTCACCGCGTCCGAGATAACGATGAAAACAGAAAATATTTTATTTATTGTAGGATCTAACTTTAATTATAAAACATGTTTTAGAAATATGATCATGAATAAGAATTAATGGAAAAAAAGGGTGCGTATACTTATGTACGCGCGTAAGAAGTTATATTTCTTCGGCATTATTGAAAATAGTTTTTGATTGCATGCAAATAATTAATTACAATTAAATAATCAAAGACTGGAAAAGGAGTCATTATAGTCAATAAAGTTCAGTTTACATTTGAAAAATTAAATAAATAAATATTTATTATTATTCTCTTACATTAAGTGTAACAAATAAATTCTATTATTATTCGAATATTGTTTTTAAATTATGTCCAATGCCTAGCAGTAGTAGCATCTTCCATCGTAAAATTTCACTCTCATCAATTTTTCATAACGCGCCTAAAGAAGTATAACTTCAATTAATGAATATTTAATGAAAACTATAAAATTATTGATCAACGATGAAACTAATTTTATTGACAAAACTATAATTAAATTAAATAATTATTTTTAGGTGAGACACATTACCACGCTTATGAGAAGCCGCTGGTGTACTTCCAAGTGTTGACTTTAACTGGACAGTTTGAGCCGGCTATAGAGTTCCTTTCTAGGATTCCTAGGTAATTATCTAAATAGTTAAGTTTTTAGTGATAAAGTTATCTAGTGTTATGAGAATATTTTTTTTAATTAACAATAATATGTAAGTATTGTATATTATTTATTTTTCTATATCGGAACATACTGGTTCCGAAAATGGTTTTATCGAGATTCGAACTCAGAATTAAATGAAGAAATCTGTTTGAGCAATGAGACGTTCATTAATACACACATAGTATAATTTCATTTAAGATATATCATTAACTTTGTTTTTTGTGTAAAAAAAATATATTATTTTATATGCTTACAAAACTAAGAAATATAGGCTAGTAATTTCTGAGTAAATTTGTTACAAACAGTCACAATTATAAAATAAATAAATCAGTTGCGCTACAATCTTTTTAGGTCTTGGCCTCAGATTTCTAATAGGCAAGTAGGTGATCAGCCTCTTGTGCCTGACACATGTCGACTTTTTGGGTCTTAGTCGAGCCGTTTTCTTCACGATGGTTTCCTCCACCGTTCGAGCGAATGTTAAATGCGTAAAAAGTCCATTGGTGCACAGCCGGGGATCGAACCTACGACCTCAGGGGTGAGAATCGCACGCTGAAGCCAGTAGGCCAACATTGCTCAACAGTTACAATTATTTTTTTATAATATATATATTTTTTTAATATTCAGAAGTATGCATATCCAAAATAAACCATAATATTTCTTACTCTATTTAGATATCAAGTTCACGGAGTCCATATGGCATTAGCCCTTCACGATGGATACATGTTGGGGACTCCAAGAAATGTACAAGCACCGCTTTGTAAGTATTGACTAATATGCCCTGCGGTTTCACCTCCTTAAATTATACTAAAAACTAAAAATAAAATAGTCTTATAAAAAATAATTAAACAATTAATATAAACGTACTATATCAGAATAATATGTCATCAATGCCACATCTAGTGAAAAATCAAATTCGAACATCTATGTTTTGCTTGGTTGATCGAGTTTGTCACATTGACATTTTGTCGCGAACCCACATCTGTGAGCTCTAATAATTAATCTTAGTTTTACATATTGTTTCTCAGTAAGTGAATTATGTATGCAATTCTTACGAAAAATAAAGTTATTCTTAAACCTAAATTGATCATAGCCTGATGTTTAGCCTTACTCCAATAAAAGATTATTATAGGTTATTTTTAAATTAATTCTACCCTATTATTTAATTATTTAGCATAAGAAAGTGTAATAATACTACTTACAGTCATTCAGTCCCTATTAAAGGGAAGACACTGTTCTTGCGATCTATTTGTTATATAATATATATATAGTAAATAATAAAACTAATATCAATTTATGTTTTATAATTTAATTTATTATTTATTTTTGAAGTTATACTTCTTTAGGCGCGTTATGAAAAATTTATGAGAGTGAAATTTTACAATGCGCGCGTACCCGTGACACAAAATTAGGAGTGTGATTATAGCGTGCGCGAGCGAGATAGGAATAAGACAATCTACAAGTAAAAAGAAATAGAATATGCGTGAAGTTCGTATGCCAAGAATTTTGAATGACCATAATGACATTTGTCATTTACCTTTTAAACAAATAAAGGAGTTTTAATTATTTTTTCAAAGAAATTTAGCGATGCTTTTTGAATTATAATCAGAAGTGATTTAAATTGAATATTTAAACCAATACTAATTAATATTTGTGAAAAAACTGTGCTCATCAACCTTCCTAAGTGCTTTAATACAATTGAGGTTAACTATCCGTATGTATTATTATTATTATCGAGTAATGTTTTGATTAAAAAATTAACCACATTGTTTAATCAAAACATGTAATTTTTCTGATTTTATCTAGCAAATATAAGGAAAAGAGACAAAAAACAATTGATGAATCAGTGTAACTGCACTAAATTGAATACAAAAAAAGAGTTTTCATCTTATCGCTGTGAAACATCAAAAACTGGAGGTGGAACAAAGCCAAACTATTTTTAATAATGCCAAAGAAGTATAACTTCTTACGCGCGTACATAAGTACACGGACCCTTTTTTTACAATTATAAATTAATTAATTTATTATATATTAATTTGTTTTTCAATTCCAAATATCTCTGACTTAATATATGTTATGATTCCTTCTTCACTGTGGAATGCTCTGCCTTTCGTGCAGACGTCGCAGACTAGGTATTCTTTAAAGAATCTACTAAGGGAGCGTTCAAGTATTACGTCACGCAATTTTTGGAGATTATTGGACCCCCCCCCTCCATGTAACACGCCGTAACTTTTTTCTGTACCCAATAGTAAAACGTTTCGTGACCACCCAGTGACTCTTTATACCTAAAAGTTACCATTATGTGGTGTAAAGTACTTTAAAGTCGAAAATAATTTTAACAATAACGCGTAATTCAATCCCCGCCCCGCATCGTAACGTATAAAAAAAGGTGGAAAAAGTTCGTTACGTAATACTTGAACGCTCCCTAAGTACATTGTACCAAAAAAAAACCCTTTTTTTTATATCCTGTGCATGTATGTTATTATTTCTGTATAGTTTACTGTTTTTATCAATAAGACCGTGCCCATTCACATTTTTTGTTGTATTTTTTTGTGATACAAATTAAGTTTTTATGTGTTCCCAGTATCCGTAGACACAGATGACCCCATACCCCTTCGTCGGTTGAACTTGGCCCGGCTTTTACTTCTTTTCGTGAAAAAGTTCGAATTAACGGACCCATCGGATGCCTTACATTATTATTACTTCTTAAGGTATTTTTTTAAATATATTATTATTATTTATTTTTATGTACTACCTGACCCGGCTAACCGACCCGATTCTCAGACTTACTGAATATGCATACAAAATATCATAATAATCGGTCGAGCCGTTTCGCTGGAGTATGGGAACGAACATTGTGACACGAGAATTTTATATATATAGAGATTTATGAAACATATTTTTTGTATGTGTTGATTTCAGTTAGTTTGAGATGATTTCTTTTCAAATTTGTCTCTGGTTTGTCCTTTAATTTTTACAATATTATTTGCTAAAAATGAAACGTCTAAACCCGTCTAAATGAGTTAAAATAAAATATTTTCAGGAACTTAAAGGACCCGAGCGGAAAAAATCTCTTCATGTGTTGTTGTTCCGAATTGGCTCTCGAATCAAGAGATTATGAGCTGATCTTCGGTCGAATGGATCTGACGGGAATTCGCTCGACGGGTCTTCTTGATCAGTTCAACAATTCCCATATTGATACTAAGGTAAGGTTTATTTAAAACTTTTTTTGTCTTACTTAGGTTGCCTGGAAGTGATCGCTTGTTAGCGATAAGGCCGTTATTTGTTTTTATTTTTATGTAACCAAGTTTAAATAAAAGAAAAATGATTATGCTTCTATCGGAATCTTTATAAATAATTTATCGCAAAATATCTTGCTAAGCTCAAAACTCGAAGATGCCTGGACCAATTTATTTTTATTAATTCCTTGAACTCTTGCGGTTTTTATGGAGAGAAAAATTTGAGGCTTTTATTGCGGAAAAGCAAACAGTCTCAATGGCGTAGCATAGCAAAATGTTAAATATGTTGGGATCTAGCTACTAATAAGGTAGGCTAAGTAAAAAAATCATATTAAGTCGAAACGAAGTTAACGCAGCTAAATAATAAAAATCCAGGCGCTGAAACCCTATATTGGCCGCATCGATCAGCCTTCTGTGTCTGAAACATTTTGATAGATTTTTGGGTTCAAGCCATGCCGGTTTTCTCAAGATGTTTTTCTGTAGGAGCAAATGTTAATTGCACATAAAAAACTTTTTTGTAGAGTTCGAACCACGACCCACAAGTGCTCTAGTAACTACAATAATTTCCACTGGCTTTCTAGTGTACTATGCACTATGATTGCGTGTTTTAAAAAACTATATATATTTATTACATAAAACATCGAGTTCTGTAAATAATGTAATTCGGATTACGTATAAAATGAAGTAAGTATGTTAAACTCAAAAAGTACTGAACGGATTTTTATACAGTCACCAATGATGGTATAACCATTATTGATGAGGAGGTCTCAATACACGAAATCTACGGGTGAAGCTGCAATAAATTGTTTTAAAAAAATCAAACTTTTTAGATTTTTTTGAATTTTCTAAGTAGTTTTCTGCTCTTTTCCAGGTTATAGCACTTAATGTCGCAGAGGAACTGGTTAACAAAGGGCTGTTTGAAGATGCCATCACCATGTATGACATTGCTGGGGTAAGATGTTTAAATAAATTAATCGTATGAATATTAAATAAAACAATTAAATATTCAAATAATTTAGAATATTTTCGTAAGATCAGAGACCCAATTAGTATTTTTAATTTTATTCCTTTTATTAAATTTTAAGCAGTGTTTAATTTGACGAAACATCTCGCTTTATTTTTAGTAGTTTATATCTCAAAGCTATCACCTGTTTATATTAGAAAAAAAAAGTGTGTGTGTGTCAGCTACGACGCACGATTGGAGTTTACTCCTTACGAACGATAATTATGATATATATCTAATAGAAAAAAAGGGTAAATGAACGCATCTGCTAAAATGATAAGAGAAACAAACATATATCTGTAATTATTCGGATTATTTATATTACTTCAATAAAGCGTATTACATAAAGTATGTTACAAAACAATATAAATAATAATAATAATAAAAGAGTCTATTATTTAAAATAAATCTTGATTTCTATACAAAACGGCACGAACGACTTCCATACTTTATAAGCTGTGGTGTTTCCCAGGCTTATAGTTTCGGCTTGTGTCAAATGCACTGCAGAACAAAGATGGCGATAATGTTCTGTGGCTGTCGACCATATTTTCATACTAAAGGTGGTAAGAATATATGTTTTTATAATATAAATGTTTGTAGTAGTAATAAAACGTACCTACATCATCTATGCCCAAATAGGATTTTCTTTCTGAGACCAAAGTTACCTTTATAGTAAGAGAAGAATAAGAAAAAACAATCTTTTTAGTTTTAATTTCACTGACCATTACTATTGACAAAACTCTATGGCACGCTAGACAATCTACTTTTATTTTTACACCTGTCAACACTGACAATGTTGTAACGTGGCTGTCAAAACGTGAATTCAAAATAGAAAAGTCTGTGTAATGTATTCCATCTCATTCTTTTACACGTTCAATCCTACAGATATATATGTTTGTCTCTTTCTACATAACGCCTCAACTTTTCGTGTTACACTTGATTTTACTCCTCATAAAATTTCCGTACCGGGCCTTATAACTCAAATCGTTTCTTAAGGAGTAAACTCCAAAAACGTTTTAATATATGTGTGTTATTCTATTAGTATATTATTTATTTTTTAATCGATTTTTTTTATTTGAAGCTCATGATTTACTAAAAGTTTTCTCAGTAAATATATCTCAAACAAAATTAACCTATTAAAATAAGCGAAACCTTTATCGATTCGACGTATTTTTTAGATCAAATTTCACACAGAATGTTTACCTAAATGAGTCTGGAGTCGAATTTTTATCAGATTATTATTTTTTCAGAACCTAGAACGTGTCCTGGAACTATTCTGCATCTTGTTGGCACAAGTTGTCAATAGTGGGGGTGGGGCTGGAGGGCTGCGGGAACGGCTTTCGGTTCTCGCTGAACAGGTTGGGAGATCGTTTAATCTAATAATACCTGACGCGGCTTCTTACAGCCTAAGACAACAGTCACGAAACCCTTGAACATATTTTATTGAATTTTTAATATTTTAAATAAATCATGAAAATGAGTCTAGCCGTTCTCGAGTGTTCGAACAAACAATTATGATTTATATATTAAAGATAGAATAGAAGTTATTACATATACAAATAAAATTTAGACGCCAAAAAATAACTGGGTGTCATTTACTATGATCAGAAACTTTCAATTCCACTTAATATTCATTTTTAGCAAAAAAATGCCAGAAATAATTATAATATGGTTAAAATATCTAAAAGATAAGCCTGAGCAAGTAATTAACTATTGATATTTTTAACATAAGTTTTATTTTATACAATGGCTTTTGAAGTTATACTTCTTTTGGCGCGTTAGGGAACAATAATTAGAGTAAATTTTTACGATGCGCGCGCACACCGTCACAAAAAACCGACACCGGCACACCGTCACGTGTCGTTTTTTCTACAAACGTAGAATAATATTTTAGAAAAGATTTTTATCTTGTTACCAATAAATTCCAAAGAAGTATAATTTCTAACGCGTGTACATAAGTAAACACACGTTTTTTTTAATATTTTGAACCATAATAATTAAACTATTTCATTTGTAGCAGTAAGTGTAAATAAATATACTGTAATCATGTAATTTGAACATAATATAGAACATACATACACAACATTTTTCAAAAAATTTGGGAATAATAATTATAAATATTTTATTAACTAGCTGTCGGCCATTCTCATTTCAAGAAAATTTATATATTAAAGAAAATTATATAGTCTTAATTATTTCTAAATAAAATGTGGAAATTGGTTAAGTACTTGTTTGTTCTTTTCTTTATTTTGTATGAGTATATGCTCTTAATCCCTGAACACATGACCAGGTCTCCAAGCGCCTTCGAAGCACAGACGCCAATCTCCCAGCATCACTAGTGGAAGCGTACACCAAGCTCTGCAAACTGATGACCTTCTTCGACCAGTTCCACAGTGACAACTATGAGGGAGCCCTCGAGGTAACAAAATTGTTTTTGTTAATAAAAGTCCGAAATATAGAAAAAAAAACTTTTTTTAGAAAACCTTACAGCTTACTAAACATATTTTTAATCTCCAACGCATCTAAACGCCAATTAAAAGTTTTACTAAACAATAATATTACCGAAGGAATGCGTGCAGGTGTGTGTGTGTGTGTCTAATCTAAGCGTGTGTTAAATTCGCTTCATTCATCCCGGCCCAAATGTCCAACCCCAAAAAAGAACTATAGCCATAGAACAAGTTTAATGTTATTCTATCAGGCTGTGTGTTTTCAACTTTTTTAATGGAAAATTACTACGCATTAAACTGCAGGTTAATTCGACGTTTTGAAAATATGAAAATCTTCGTTTTGTTAGAGTTACAGTCAAAATCTGTTATATCGACTTGGAAGGGATGTCGTCGTAAACGGTTTTGCCTGTATAATGTATTATGTGTATATATATATATATATATATATATAACAGGGGGCAAACGGGCAGGAAGCTCACCTGATGTGAAGTGATATCGCCGCCCATGGACTGGACTGAACTGGACTGAATGACGGAGGATTTGTTGACGCTGTTTTCTTAAAGGACACATCGTATCGTAATGACACTTTCAATACTCAAAACCCATCACAGATCGTGTATATCTAGAATGTACAAGGTGTCATTTTCGTGGGGTGAAAATTATACTGCATATTGCACGCCTCATTAGCGGAGCGGAAGCAGTGCTCTACTCTCGACATGTCAAAAAACCCAGTCTTTTGAAACTTGAATGACTTTTTTCTCACTAATAGAACACTTACAGGATAATATGAATGCACTAAAATCGAGTTAAATAATCTATCAAGCACATATGGTATTTTTTATGAACAATTATTTTGTTTAACATAGTAAATAATAACATTAAAATCAATCACTCTTGACGTCCGTCAGTCTGTGTTTATGGATCCATGTATGTGGCAGAGAAATTGGTCGAAAAATTTATCGTACCAGAATACTTTTTTTCTTATTATATAAAGTTATACCCTGGGCTGATTCCTAGTTAATATTAGCGTTCTAAGTACTGTCGTTTAATTATAATTTGTAAAAAACTAAAATACTACTGTTCCTCACCTTTGAGTTATGGCGCCACTATATATATTTTTATTATATTATTGTTTTTTTTCAATCATTCATTTTCATTTATTTTTTATTTTTATTTTCTTTTGTTATTTTGTTTTAAAAAACTTGAGTTTTTGTTTCAGAATTTTTTTAAATGTGAATGACCGCTATGGATTTTCCAAACTTTTGTCAAATTAACTTGATGTGTCAAAGCTTTCTGGCTTAAGCGAAATGAACGCTTCGTCTAGAAAGTTCTGTTTATTAATTTAATGTATTTGCAATTACAGAGCCTCCGCGAGTGCGAGCTTGTCCCTCTAAGTACGAGTGATTTAGACGCGCGCGTGTCCGGCGCACGCGCAGCCCGTGGCGAACTGTTGCGTTGTCTTCCGGCAGTTCTTCGGGCTGTCTGCACTATATTGGTCGCTCAAAGGCAGAAATTGCGTGGAAATCATGTAGCCACGCATACTACTAATCAGGTATAAAAACTATTTTCCTTTTCGATAAATGTCTCTTAATAACAAAAAGAGGTTGTTCCTAATCTTTTGAGACATTGTATAATAATACCTAGATAAATCATAAATTATACTATAGTTGAAGTTGATTTTTAAAGTTATACATCTTTTGGCGCGTTAGGGAAAAATGATTTAAAATTAGTAAATTTTTACTATGCGTAAAGTAAAGTAAAGGAACGGCAACAGACTTTTGGTTTAAAAATAATTTATTTAAATGAACAGAGTGACAACACTTAATTAAGAACTAAACAATAACCCACTTAATATCTTTTTTCTCTCGTATTTATACATTAAAACTACTTACTAAGTATTGGTCGTCGACCTATATTTGGTTTCGTGCTAGCAAAGCATATATCTATAGGGTTAGTACTCTTAACTCGCGCACACCGTCACAAAAAACCGACACCCTGAAGTTAGATATAGTCAACATTTTAGCTTTTTCTATTGTTAGTGTCATTTTATCTCAAACTTAGAATAAAAATTTTGAATTGACTTATCTTGTTACGCCAAAGAAGAATAACTTCTGACACGTGTACATAAGTACACACACTTTTTTTTTTAATTTATGTTACCGAGACAGTAAATTATATAGTTTATTGTTTAATACTTTCTGGCAGATTTAGATTTTTTTGATAACTTTTTTCAGCAAGTGGAGTGGCTGCGGGAACAAGCTGAGGTGCTAAACACGTTTGCGGGCAACATCGCGTATAGAATGCCCGGCGACACGTACAGTCAGTTAGCGCAGATGCAGATCTTAATGCATTAATTAATATAAGTCTTTTTTGTGATTGTTGCGTTTTATTACCATCTTTTTAAAAGGTTCTATTAAATTTTTTTTTTAGTTTGAGTTTTTTATATATTCACCTTACCGCATACACCACGGACGTTGCTGATATACTTCTCTCCCTTCATACACTTTCATCACATTCACTATGAATGCTCGTCGGTTACGGGTACTTTCCAATCTCACCTACACCAAGTGCTACCAAGTCTTGGTCGAAAAATATGGGGAACCCTTGCATCATGTAATACCACAGGTATCCCTACCATATATGAGTTCTTAGTATGCTCGTTAAGCTGTTTATCCACTATGTTTGCGAACCTCTTGCGCTCCGCGCTCCTGCAACTGCTCCACATACTTGATACCTTCGCACTCCCGGAGCGTGCAACGGTACTAGCTGGCGGTTTTTGAGAGAACACAAAGGGGAGCTCAGCCTGGTCGTGGACGCGAACAAGAAATCACGTAAGTTCGTACTGTCGTATATCACGCTCCACGCTCGGTTAAATGGATTGGTCGGGAGAAAAATATTTTCACTCTAATCGGGTCGTGCCGAAACTATACTGCGCTGTGGGAATCCCCAGGACGAGAATTTCAAAGAAGACGCCTGTTTCCTGGTGGAAATCGGAAGAGGTATGGAGAAATAAGCAGAGATAAAACGAAAATTATAAATATATCTGTAAATATAATATAAATATGATAATAATAATAATAAAGATAATGAAATAAAATATATGCTGCACTATCCACTGGTAACGACATGTTCGCAAGAGTACTGTGGAGCATGCGTGTTTCTATTGTATGCGCGTACCGTCTCCACAAAAGCGGTTGTATGAGCGCGGAGTGCAAGAGGTTTGCGAACATAGTGGATACCCAGCTTGAGATTATTAAAAAAAAGCACTTCATCCTTTATCGATGGTTTTAGCTACAGATTCAGTCAGAACATACGTTTTTCGTAATCCTGATACGATTTCCAACCAAAAACATATTTTTGCAAACTTGTAAACATTCCGGGCTCCCGTACTACATTGATTGTATGGTCAACAAATCAAATGGCAAATCACATTTTGATTGATAATTTCATTCTCAGGGACGCTAAATATATGAATGTTTGGCCATACAAACTTCATCCATGTAAGCATGATGTAATGGTCATAGAGTCTGGCTACCGAAAGTAGATACTGGATTTTTTTGCAAACTTCAGTCAAATGTCATAACACTAAAGTTAGTACGGTCAAAATGTCTTGATATTTTTTTATTTTAAATAAGTACAAATTAGTTAGTTGAGTGACGTAGAGATAATTGCCAGTTCTTCTCGTCCACTTTACGCTCTTGATTTGAGAACTAGCAGTAAATGTAAATTCAGAAGCATTTGTTTTTATAAGTTTACCAACAAAAAGAAAAAACTCTTTCACTGCTGTTTCTTCAATTAGTAATTGTAAAAATTTAGGGTTTATTAAAGTCTTGATGGCAACAAATAAATATACAATTTCACATTGGAATATATAATAAAACAACTTTTTAATAATGACATTAATTAATTAAACATAAAAGAAATTAACATTCATTTGTCAATACATGGTTTTTTATCTGTAGCTCTATGATGACTTTGACTAAGTTTAGCCCCTTATAAAAAACTAAAACAGTAAAAATAAACTGCACGTTTTTAACTATTAAAGGGTTAGTCAAATAAGAATATTTGCTGCTATTTTACTTTATCGTTCAATGCTTTGTCTTAATTATGGCAGACCTGAATATAACTGCAAATATAATTTCATATGTTTTTATTTATTATTACAAGTGATTTAATAATATATAGAATTTTTAGTTGCGTTCCTTGGCAACTTTGTCCATATTTTATCGATTCATACAATTTTGATATAGTTAGCGTATAAAGCGTTTTAAAGGTAAGGTGTTAAGCCTCTGAACAAAAAAGAAAGTGCAGACATAGAAATGTCTGTCAGGGGTCAGAACTTTAATTTAAATTAAAAATTATGTCTTTATAAAGTTTTCTTTAGTAACTATTATAATCAGGCATTTTTATAATTTTCACGTAACTCATTTCTATAAACCTGTCCCACTACTCGGTAAAACCGATTTCCATAATTGGTTCCCGAAAAAGCTTACGTCACTTAGTGCAAATTCGATTTCGTTACAATATCCGTAGATATTCCAAACTTGGAATCACGTTACCGAAAGCGCTATTGGGAATACGTGGTATAATTCGAGTTGTTTCGAAATGACTCCAAAAGATGCTATTTTAACTTCTTAGGGCCAAATATAAGGTCTGCATCTGGTGCGCCCTTCGGGTGCTGGTACTTCTGCCTCATGTGCTGCCCTCTGTTGGGATTTCCACTGCGTTCTGATCCTCCTCCACTTTCAGCGCTGTATTCTTCTTCCTCTTGCCTCTCTGATATGTTTAATGTTAACCTAAAATGTTTTAAACTTAAATAAATCTAATATTTATTGATGATATAAATATATTATTAAATACATATGAGGTTTCCCCATAAATCGAGGCAAAACTTTAATTATTTGGACGAATCGTTTCTTTGCAAAGAAAAATGGTACATTCAAATTGATTAATTATAATAAACAATGTTATAATAATAATAACAGTTAAGATATTATAAATTGTTGCCAAAACATATTATGATCTTAAAACTCTTTAAAATAAAGCACATTGCCTTTAAAATCAATCCACCTTCTTCTGCATTTATCGTAGATAATATCGCTGTCATCAAACTTAAAGCAAAGCACGGCGAAGAGAATGTTACTCAACGCGTCAAAAATAATAATAAATAATCCAGTGACGCTATAACGCTATCTTGTCTTTGATTGCATCCATTTCTTTGATCATAGACTGGTACGATTACCAGTCTATGATTCTTCTTTGCCCGACACATGTCATCGATTTCTTCATTTGGCCAATACAAAAAAACGTAAGACGCACTGGTGTGTCAACTTACAAAATTTGTGGCGGCATAATTAATATTGTTAAACATCCCAAAAATTGGGCAGTTGAAAGTGTAATAAGAGGTGTAAAGCTACGGTTTCCTAGAAAGTACCGAGTTCCTAGAAAGACGGCCGTTAGTTAACGGCACCGCTTTACGGTTTTAAAAACGGCCGTCTTTACGGTGGCTAAGCTGTGGTTTCCTAGAAAGAACTGCGACCGTATTTTTGTGTACCGTATTTAGTGTTATTCCAATTTCGCTCCACAAATTTTGCTTCACCTGAGCTTGTCTGTACTCTTTGGATTTGATATTGTACAAAGCTTCATAAGTTGTAACAAAATCAATTAATTGTTCATCATTTTCGCTCGTCCAAGTCATTGTATTAATTAAATATGCGTTAAACTACTGTTTATCGCTATGACGGCCGTCATGCAAATGACAGGCCCGCTATTTGAGGTTACGGTGACAATCAACGTTCTCTAGAAAACCTACTCCGATGTTTTTATAGACAACGTATGGGTGACGTCACCCAACGCCACATTACGGCCGTTAGAAAACGGCACCGCTTTTCTTGGAAACCGTAGCTTAAGCGTACATTTGTTTGGCACAAAAGGCTCACCTTCCTGACTAAGAAACAATGTATTACGAAACAGATACAGAACTCTGAGGCCAAGACTGTTGTACCGCTACTGATTTTTTTAACTTCCCCGCCACGTCTAAAAAGAAATAGAGAATATAAAAAAAAACATACCGTTTCACCCTCTCCATCTCCTGTTTGTCGGCGAGTGCCTGCTGTTGGAGATTACTGGCGAGCTCTGGCGGCGCATTGAAGGACTTATATTGCGGCTTTGTTCCTTTACGGACCATTAACACGAATTCCACGCCTTCTTTGCCTTGCTGGAATACAAACTTATTAGTTTAGATACAAATATTTTGTGGTTTTCTATTAAGCGGACAGCCTGCTCCTTAACCATTATTAAATGGAACTAGCAAAAAGTATATTCCTTCATTAATAATATAATTATAATTAGTATTTGTAAGAGTAAGTGGATGTAAAGGAGTATTTAGTGAATACACTTCATTCTGAGACTAACCAAGTACAACATTTTGTGCATAAGGATATTTATATTTGTACTAATATAATATTTGTACGTGTATTAGTATGCGTGTGTGGTATATTCTTTTTAAGCAAATTATTGAAACGAGTATGTGATGTTTTTTTGCATCAAATTATAATATTGTATGTAACTCCAAAACTAAACTTTTAATGAAGACTTTTGTATCAGATGTCGAAAAGACTTAAATTAATTTCACGCATTCGGACATTAGTATTTTATGTTAAAACATATATATTGGCTCAAATAGGCTAGATCACCACAGATACAGTAGAAATTAAAATAAATAAATCAGTGGCGTTACAAACTCTTTAGGTCTGGATTTTTAAATCTAATAGGCAAGAAGGTGATCAGGCTCCAGTGCCTGACACACGCTGTTGTGTGTGGGTCTAAGACATGTCGGTTTCCTCACGATGTTTTCCTTAACCGTTCGAGCTATTGTTAAATGCGCACATAGAAAGAAAGTCCATTGATGAGCCGGGGATCGAACCTACGACCTCAGGGATGAGAGTCGCAGGCTGAAGCCACTAGGCCAACACTGCTAAAAAAATATATATTGTATATAAATTATGCATAAAGATTAAAATAATAATAAATATAAATTATTTGATAAAAATCATAAAGCAAGTAAAAGTTTACCAATAACTGTTCGTATGTCTTCTTCGTTGTCTGTCTGCACGTCAAAGGAACTGCTATATCCCGTTGTTGGGGTCTATTTTCGCGTTGTCTCTCCGCGACATTTTCCATGACCATTTTCTCGAAGGCCGATTCGAACTCCACATCTTTCACCTATAAAAAATCCTTTACTTAACCACGGAATAGATAAAATTGGAAGAGCTTTTTGGTTTAATTTTATACTTTAATATCGCGTTTTTTAATTTGTGAAATTCCATTTATAATTTTATAATGTTGCATATTC